TCGGCGCGATAACCGAGCGCAATTGTTTGGCCAGAACAGTAATTGGAGCATGCGAGCGAGCGGCTTATCATCTCGCGAGCAAACGTTCGCGTTTGCAAATAAGCAAGATAAGAGAAGAAGCGGATCGAAAGAGTCCGAAATTAGGATCCGATCGCACCGTTCCACGAGTCTGTAACGTTCTGCAACGCTTCCGAGACCGGCTTTTCGCGCTTTCGATCGGCGCTTCCCGGTTTTCCTCGATTTCCCGCGCTGCGCCCTCCGCGAAGGGCTTCGACGATCCCTCCGGTTTCTCGATCGATCCGCGTCTCTTGAGTCGGCGAGCTCGTATACAGTTTCCCAGGTTTCTCTTTTAACCGTCGACACCAGAGAAAGCAGTACAGGATGTCGCAAAAGCGCGGACGAGAATTTCGGATAGAGACGCGAGCGCGCGAAGAAGTCGCGCCGCTGCGCGGTGAAGAGCAGATCCTCGTTTTCGAGGATCTAATTAAGAGATCCGAGGAAGCAGGAACGATCGCGGCTCGATCGTCGACGAGGCCGTTCTCGCAATCGGCGATCAACGGATCCCCGACGCGAAATTCATCGGACGATCGTCGGTTGTTTGAAAATGGCGGTCGCGGGTCCCATTAAAACGTGCACCGAGAATTCACTGTACCGGTCGGCGGATATTTTTGCCCGTTTTACGGTCGTTCCGCAGTTTCGTTCGTAATCGACGAACCGCTGGATCATCGTCGCGACGACCGAGAATTACGTCGCGCCGACGGAACGCGGATTCCGCGCGAACGCGCTTCGGCGGTGTTCGCGAGGTCGGGGGTCGTTTCGTCCGGCGATTAACACCGGGCCACCGTATTCCGGATTTCCCTCGATTTTACACGATAGCGGAGACCGGCGGGAATCGCGGAATGGCCATCGGGGCCATCGGCATCGCGAAACGATCGTAAAATCAAAGAACGCGCGGCGGCCTCCTCTCCTCCTCAGTCCCCTTCTAACGGAGCCAACACGGCGCGAACGAGCAACGGGTCTGTCCATTTTCGTAACCCCGGGTTTCTTCGCTTTTTAGTTATCGCCCTGTGCCCGTTGCACGCCACTTATTGTTTACAGTCGCCGGCCGAGCTCCGCTTTATCGCCGTTTGCCGGAATTTACGGCCGGATGCGAATCGCTGGATTTTCTTTCGCTCGCGAGCACACCGTAAAAAAAGAAAGAACAACCAACGAGCCGTATTTGCCGGAAGAAACTAGTACTTTGAAATGTTTATTGATTCGAGTCGGAATTTGAAAGATTAGGGTGAGCTGTAGGTATCGCTGCGGTTTCTCGATCGAGGCAGGAAAATAAGATAAATTGATAAACCGAGCTTCTAAGCGAAAGAGGGACGATTTGGGGAGAGGCGATGCGATTATTCGAGGCTCGCGGCTCGTTTTTACAGTCGCCGAGAGATTGTTGCAGTTTCTGAGTCATTTTTACAGTCGCCGAGAGATTTTTACAGATTCTGAGTCATTTTTACAGACGCCGAGTTATTCTTACAGTCGCAGTCATTCTTACAGTCGCCAAATCATTTTTACAGTCGCCGAGAGATTTTTAATTTCTGAGTCATTTTTACAATCGCCGAATCATTCTTACAGTCACCAGCTCATTTCTACGATCACCAACTCTCAACGATTACAAAAACCAAAGTCACTATACTCGAACAATCGCGTCTGCTCCCCCCAAATTGTCCACTTTCGCGCGCGATCCGAGCGCGAATTAGAGAAACATTGCAGCACCCAGACTCACCCTATCAACAGAATCCTCGTGCACGGAATACACGGATCGCGGAAACGTTTACAGAAACGACGAACCGGCGCTAATTACACCGGCGATAAAACGCGTTTGGAATCGCGTCGCTTTGAACGTCGGTGGACGTCGAGAGCAGGCGAAGAAACGGCCGACGGGAATGAAATATCGAGCCCGCGTCGCGCAATTTGTCATCGTCGTGTCCGCGGTTCCGCGGCGGTGTGCCCAGGCATCGAAAGTACGAGGCGAGTTCGCCGGTTACAGCGGCACATCGGCGCCGCAACCATTAATTGCTCTCCCCGAGCACTCGCGTCCGCGTATCTCGCGCTTTTTCCGCGCGATTAGCGCAACGCGTTTTACGTAACCGGGCGCGCCGCGACTCGCATAACATCGACACGCGGCACGCGGTACGTGTCCTTTCGGTGAATAACTTTCCACGATTGGATCGCGGGCCGATCGATCGGTCACGATCGTCCGCAACCAGGCGTGTTTTCCCCGAGGAATCCCGTTGCCATAATCTCGTCGCGAGAACCGCGGACGCGGCGTCGAACGGCGCTGCCTCGCCGGCGAATAAATTTCGAATCGTAATCGCGACCATAATCGCCGATGCTTCGCGAGTTCCCGAAGCCGAAAAAACCGGCCGGCGAGCCGAAATAACGGCTTCATCCAGCGTCGGAGGAAAGTCGCGCGCCGGCGATCCGTTCCGAGGAAATAAAACGCTTTAAAATCGGCGCCGCGATCAATCGCGCGGCCGAAATCGCGGCGGAAATTGATCGTTCTCGGCTTTGTTGTCCTCGCGATCGCGGCTCTGCTAATTTCCGTCGTCTCGCGATTGACCGCCGACGATTTCCGTCGGCTCGCGATTGGCCGCTGCCAATTTCCGTCGGCTCGCGATTGACCGCTGCCGATTTCCGTCGGCTCGCGATTGGCCGCTGCCAATTTCCGTCGGCTCGCGATTGACCGCCGACGATTTCCGTCGGCTCGCGATTGACCGCCGTCAATTTCCGTCGGCTCGCGATTGACCGCCGCCGATTTCCGTCGACCCGCGACGCTCTCGCGAGCGGCCGTCGCCGATTTCCGTCGCTCGGCGACGAGGATCCCGGACTAGAAAGCCGGGGAAATTCGCGAAAGTGCTCGAAAGCGTCGCCCGTGGCTGTCTTTTGTTTGATTTTCGCTTGGCACGGGCGCCGGCGGATTTGCCAAGCGTCGAGGGGAACGGGTTCGCGCGCTCGTCGACGTGCTTTGCTTAATGAACTTGCTAAAAAGCAGAAAATTCCACTGGAAAGTCGCCGGACCAGTCCGCCGATAAGACGCGCGCGCGATCGAGATCATATTTTCCCGATAAATGGTCGATAACGGGGTTCTCGATCGAGGAATACCGGGGAATCGCCGTGAATTCCGCGTAAGGTCGCGCCGCGATGGGAAAACCGAGCGCCGGATCGGCGGAACGTGCTCCGAGATCTGGAACACGCGAGAGACCGTGAGACAGGGAACGAGACGCGGGACGCGTCGGCGTCGCTTCCGGTAACAGGAGAATCCGATGACGACCGTGTTTCTCGATCGAATCGAACGGGGACCGGCTCTCTCTCGCCTGGTCAACGTTCTGCCTTCTCGCCTTACGTTCCGCCGCGGTTCCTACGCACCGGACTCTCTCTCGCGCGACAAATTCCCAGCCAGACGTATCAGCTTGGCTCGCGGAAATTCGCGGAATCGTAGCGAGCACGCGTTGCTCTTCCCTCGAGCAAAGCCTCCTTTTTTCCGAGCGGATCTCCTCGGGAACGAAGCCTTTTTCGCGGCGCGGCGCCGGGACGGATTTCGCCGAAGCCTCGCAGGGCAGAAAATGAACGTCGCCGGCTCGATTTTTGCTCGCTTTATCGCGCGGTATCGTTCGATCCGAGTTACGATAGAGGGGGTCGAGGGTTCGATATCGAGTTACGAGGATCGACGTGAATTATCGACGTTACCGTGCGCGGTAATGCGTTCCGCGGCCGGGCCCGGTGCATAAACGCGGTATGCCGAGTGCACGCCGATGCGCATAAAACTATTATGTCATAAGCTACGAGAGGCATAGAGGCCATTCACGGGGAGTTTACGCTTGCGGGGCTTCGCGGGGAGAGTTCCGCGACCACGTAGGACGTCTTGAAACTGTACGGCTGTACGGGTTGGATGGAACGTTGCCGGGAATTGCGTCAACGGTACGTTAGCTGCTCGTCATCGAAATTCAATAATTCTTCTGTCATGTGCGCGCGACGAGACTAAGTCGCGTTTCGCTTGTATCGGCGATCGAGATGACGCTGTGCTTTGGAAAATGTTCACGGAGGTTCTTTGAGCCTTTGCTCTGCTACCACGTCTGAGAGACGTGGTCAAAAGTCGGTCCGAAAGTGATTATCACGTCTGAAAGACGTGGTGAAAAAGTCGGTCCGAAAGTGATTATCACGTCTAAGAAACGTGGTCAAGAGTCGGGTCAGAAATAATTATAACGTCTGAGAGACGTGATCAAAAAGTCGGTCCAGAAAGTGATTATCACGTCTAAGAGACGTGGTAAAAGAATCGGCTCAGAAGTGACTATCACGTCTGAGAAACGTGGTAAAATAAATCGTGCCAGAAATGATAATCACGTCTGAGAGACGTGGTCGTAAGAAGTTCGCGACAGACACAACTTCGGACGCGCAACCATAAAAGGGCTCGATACGTAGCCGATCGTGTCGTTGCTTACAGCACACGATCATCGAACCGAAATCGTAGGGCAAAGGGTTAAAAGACCCGGAATTACGAAACGGCAATTATCGTCGGTCGCCGGTGCCTGGACACAGAACGCGGAAAAATCGGAGAAAGGGTGGCCGGGATCGGCGGCGACCAAGCGCGCGATCGAGCGATCGATCACCGGCTAATAGTCGTTTATTAATGTCCGCGGATCGCGGAAAAATCCGTGCCGGAGAAAATTTCAATTTTCGCTTATGCAACCGCGCGCGTTTCTTGCGCAACGGTGTGCCGCTGAGAATCGAGCTGGGACAATCGTGAAAGCGTGAGAATCATTTTCTGTCTTGTCCTCGGCGGACAATTGGATCTATCGGCTGAACGAACGAACGAAGCTGTGCGCCGAGCGACGACGATCCTTTGTCTCGCTGCCAATTTCCGCGAATTTCGCCGATCCACCGTGTTCTCTCGCGTTCCGAGATCGATGGATCGTTCCGCCCGTTCCCGTTTTCGCCGGAAACTAATCTCGTCCTACCTTGGTGTGAAGAAACGCCAGCGACTTGTTCACGTTCTCGATCTTGTGCACTCGCATGCGGCCATTGTTCGGCTTGGCCAGCCGTTCGCCGGAGATGATCTCGAGCAGCTTCAGCAGCTTCTTGCCGTCCGCCAGGTCCGTGAACAAGTCGTCCACCTCCATCCGCGCCTATCGAACACGGAAACGAATTCTACGATCAGCTGAAATCTCGGCCGCGGCTCGATCCGCGTTATCAGAGTGCATTGTCTGCCGGGAGAAGAGACCCAGCTACGCATACCTTCAGAAGAAACGAGTTGATCCATTTGGTGAAAGTCTTCTTCTGTATGTGCAGCCGTTCCTCCTGCAGGGCCTTGATGCGGCCCTGCTCGAATTTTAGCACGTCCTCCCTCTGAGTCATTCTCTTTTGTATGTCGGGACCACCCCGGAATCGGTTGGCTCTTGTCGGCGGATAATTCGGCGTGTACACGAGGTTGAACGTCCTGTCTTGGGGTGCGGCGCCAAGCCCAGCGCCGGGCACATACTGCGCCCCTGAAACCCAAACGTTTCGTTAGAACGGAAGTGTCCCTTCGACCGAAACCGGGGGAACGCTTCTAAACATCCTCAGGAAGCCGGCCACGAAATATCGTCCTATGAATACCGTGGCAGACCCCTGCCGCGCCGCGCTACGCTACGCGCAAGCGGAATCTGCTGCGTTTCCAAGCTTCGAACGGCTGCACCGAAGCAATCGTCGCCGATACGAATGGGACACCCGGTGTGCAATAGACTCGGCCACGGTGGAAATTGCATTATTTGAAATAACATGTTAAATAACGCGTTATTTTATTTTGTGATTGTTTGATGCAAATACTTGGGATTATTGCAGAATTTCTATGTGGTTATATTATTATTATATATTATTATTATTTCTATTATATATTATTATTTTTTTTATTATATACTATTATTATTTCTATTATATATTACTATTATTTTTATTACATACTATTATTATTTTTATTATATATTACTATTATTTTTATTACATATTATTATTATTTTTGTTACATATTATTATTATTTTTGTTATGATATATTTATTATTATATTATAGTATTATTATATTTATTATATATTTATTATTATATAATTATTATTATATATATTATAATATTATTATTATAGTTATTATATATTTATTATTATGTTATGTTATATTTCTCGAGAAAGAATTCTCAAAGAGGCACACTAGGTGCATCGAAATAGAAAAAGGCAATTCGCCATTCGCTCGGTGCGGCGATTCGCGATAGCGATTTACGCTCGTGGTCCGGCGGGAAAAATAAACGCAAGACAATAAACCCCGTGGACAATGATGCTGTCGAGTCATCGTGCCGGCAACAGCTTCGCGTACACCTTTCCGCGGCACTCGTTTCTTGTTTGCCACGCGCTTTATCACTGTCGCGCGACCGACGATTTCATACCGCCGCGTTTCACCTTCTTCTCGCTTCGAGAGAAAAAAAAGAACAATATTGTTTAATACAACTTTAAGAACAACGTAGATCATAAAATTCGCCCTTTCCCCGCGACTCTGATAAGAGAGGGAGAGAGAGAGAGGTCGACGACCGCTGGACAGAAAAGCAGAAATTTCGCGCGGAATTTGTTATGAACGGTCTGCCAAATGGAAAACCGGAGCCTAGATGAGCAACAAAGGAAATTGCAGCACGATACTAAATTATCGAGACTATTTCGAGCTTCCGCAATCTCTCTCTCGGCGATAACGTATCAAGAAAAGAGCCGCATCCAGGGTGCGCGAATAGGAGAACGTTGTTCGCGACGAGGCGATCGCGATCGCGCGTTCTCGATCGCCGCGGCGCGCGAATTCCTCGGCGAGGGGGGGAGGCACAATAATATCTCAGATTGCTAATCATGTTTGCGATAACTTTCTCGATTAGCGGTGCAACGATTGCGACAACGCGGTGGAATGTCGCGGATAAGTTTCATCGAGCGACTCGTCGGGGCGCACGCGATGTAACGAATTTACGAGGGCTTCTCTAGCTGGAAACGCGATCGATCGGGTTTCACACTTGTGGAACATCCGCTCCGGAACTCGGTCGAGCTTGTTACCGTTTCAAGGCTGTATCGCTCGCGTTCGTGGAAATATCGCGAGCGGGGGTGGATGTGCATATATCGGAACAGGTTGATACTTTCCGCCGCGAATTGCGATTTCGATCGCGAAATCGTCGGTTGTATTTCTGACTTCGTAACATCGTAGCTGGCGCCGAGACGAATCAAACGATCCGCTATGACTGGATTTGCAACTTGAACGTCTCGTAACAACGTTGAAATAACAATTTCGGACCTGGCGAACGTGTTTCTCCAGCAGGCGGCGGAACCACCGGTGCGGTCCGAGGATTTCGAGGTCGGAGAATTTCTGTTATGAAAAGAAGTGAAACGGCTGAAAATCGTCGATCAACTTTTTCAGCCCGCGACGCGGGACGGGAAGAGGCTAATAAATAAATCTCCGTCGGGTATGAATTTTTTGCGGGCCGCTGTTTGCTCGATTGAAACAGGTTGAAAGGAGCGGCGTCGGCCCCGGTCTTCCCGCGGCCTACCGTTCATCAACTTTTTCGCGGGGCAACGTGAAAGGGGAAAGAATAGAAAGAGAGAGAGAGAGAGAGAGAGAGAGAGAGAGAGAGGCAATTCTGATTTTTTACGGTCGCGATAAATAACGCAATCACGACGGGAGAAAAACTTGGCCGGTCAAGTTCTTAACGCCGCGCGCCGCGCCGGCTCCGATTTGCATACAATTGTCGCGAGCGAGAACCTCGAGAGGATTACGGCGCGTCCGATACCTGTCCGCCGCGATATGCAATTTAAATGACGACTCGCATAATCGTTCGCTATTAATTCGCCGGCTGGATACATACATACGCGCGACCACCGCGCTTAAATAATTCAACATTATCGGCCGGCGGAGCGCGCTTTAATTGCCGGCCGAACTTTATCGACGAAACGCTGCCTGCCTCTCTCTCCCATGGTCATCGAATCTTCGAACAAATTATCATAATCGATGCTCTCCCGTGTCCTTCCTATTGGCGTATAGTCATCCGGTCTTGCGATTAACCCTTTGCACTCGTGCGGCGACTCCGAGGCGCCGCTAAAGGCTGCTGCATCGCGTTCGCAAAATGATTTTCACGTTCTCCGTGTGCACTAAGTGCGACTGTTGGTCGGAGAAATTATTTTAGATTCCTACATCATCGCTCGGAGAGAAATGATTCCTGAGATCATTTGGAGCAACTTTTTCCTCAGCGAAAATGCGATCCGCGGCTTCGTTTACGAGTTATTAACGAAAAACGGTGACCAATGAGGGATCGCGTGCGACTGACGCACCGCCCTCGCGACCACTGCCGCTGCGCCAGACGCCCCGCCTTCGCAACGGGAGGGCGGAGCGCTGGACGCGCTCGCCTTCCATTGGCCAGCCGTTTTTCGTCGATAACTCGTAAACGAAGCCGCGGATCGCATTTTCGCTAAGGAAAAAGTTTCTCGAAATAACCTCAGGAATCGTCCCTTCCTGGTTGAAACATAATCTATGGGACACTCTGTATAACAAAAATAAAAACACGTAGACCAGCTAATTGCACAAAAACGAGAAGTCGAAAGCCAATGTCAAACGAATCGAACAGTGTGATCAACGATCGGCAGCTAGATAAAGATTTCTCCAATTTCCGTTCGCCTAATCGCGACGAATTCGTCGAACGAATTCTTTCCGTCAGCTTTTGCGTGGGACAGAAACTCTTTCGCGACAACAGCAACGTTACCGACGACGTAAGAGGAAAATTACGGGAAATTATCGCGCAATTAAAACGGCCCCGCATGCGCAAAGCGTCAATTACGCTCTCGCTACCGTTTCATTAGAAACGCATCGAAGAATGGCGGAGGTTCGACAGGCAGTTCGTTCGGCAGGTGACTACGCCACTGGCAGCCCGGCCCGGGATCTCGTCCGCGTTGCGAAGCGTGCCGCGGCGCGGACCAAGAGGGCAATGACAAGCAGGTAACATCGCAGATTTGATTAGAGTACTTAAGACGGACTGCTCGTCGGCACGGTTTGCCTCGAAGCCGCTGGAAAGCACGGGAACGCGATTCCAACAGCTCCGCGCGCGCGTTTCCGAGCGTGTTCGCCGGTGGATTCTTCGAGCGTGACGGCCGCGGGCGCGTACAGGTTTCGTATTTTCGCGGAAATTACGGTCGCGGGGCGAGCGTGGAAACGCGGGGAACGCTCGTTCCAGCTTCGGAGATCGCCGAGGCCGCCTGGAAACCGCTAGGATCCCTGGGATCGCGCGGATAACTCTCCGTTTCGCCGGGCGGAGGACGATCGCGGCTCGCGATCGCCGCGTTTCCGCGAGCAGAATCCGCTCCGAAAAATGATGCAATTCCGTCGATCATGCTCGGAGCGTGGAAAGGGCCCTGAAAAAGGCGGCGGAGGCTGCGACCGAGGATTCCGAGCGCTCCCTAAGGGCGCGCGGCGTCCGAGGCCGGGACCTAGGACCAACAAAAATAGCTCTCAAGGTCCTAGCCAGCTGGAGGGAAGAGTCCTCGATGGAATTCGAGAGGGTTCTCTCCGGCCGCAGGATTTTCGGAGGCGACCGAAGAAGCGATATCGCTCGTCCGGCGAGCGAGCCAGTCGATTCCGATGGCTGCGAATAGCGCGCGGGGGCCCCTCCCAGCACGCGTAATTACGAGGAATACGAAGCGCTGCGCGTATACGGCTCGCTATCTTCTCCGATAAGGTCGACGAAAGCGGCGGGGAATTGCGCCGATGTCGGCTTTATCGGCGAGCTAATTGCCGATGCCGATTTTCGTCGGACGCGGGGGATGCGCGGCGCCGTTTTCGGCACGGCGAAATTCGGCCGACGATTAAAATGGCGGCATGCTCCACGTCGAGAATATTCGACGATAATATATATATATGTATATCGTTCGCAGAAGAGGGAACGGCGCGGGGATTTCAGCGTTACCGTAATTCCTGTGCGACATTGTCTCCGGGATGCTTCAGTGGTCGACGGGCCCAACGGTCATCGCACGCCTCGAACGATCCTGTGACGACGCGGTCTGCTCGCAGCGGACAAACAACACCGATAAATCACGCGCCGGAGCGGTTTTGACGTTCGCGAATGCCGACGCCGAACTGATTCAGCGGTTAATGGAAGACCACCGACACGGAGAGTGGGCCTGTTATCGCGTATCGCGAGCCAGCCCGTTGTCACCCACCCTATCCTCGCGCCGCGCCTCGGACGCGAGCGTGTGCGAACAAGAGGTAGCCGGGAACTGGAGCTCTCTCGGCCGCCTTCCGCCGCCGCTGCCGCGGCGGTTTCGACCGCTCGAGAATAAAGGAAAAAAAAAGAAGAGAAAAAGACCGCGCACCGTCTATCGGTTAGCCAGAAGTTCGGCTGGCTAACCGTTGGAAACGGTTGGCGTGTGCTCGGATAACTATTAACTGGAGACGTCCGAGGCGGCCGAACAAGAAGGAACCCATCGAAATCTCCCTTTCACCAAACGGTCGCAACCGGGAAGAGAAACCGGATGCCCCAAAGAAGTCATCGCGAAATGGTCCGAGGGGCTTCGCCGCGTTCTAAGACCGTTCCACGCGCGAGATATTTGTGTCGCGGCGCGCGCGAGGAGGTTTCTTCGTCACGAGTGTGTGTGTGTGTGTGCTGGTCGAAAGCGGCTGTTTTTATAGTTTATATTTGTATTGTTGCGACGTATAATGTGATGGTAATGTAATAAATATAATATAATAATAATATATAATAATATAAATACATATATATATATTTATTTATTTACATTTATATATATATATATATATATTTTATATTACTTAATTATATATATTTATATTACTATATTTATATTATATATGTCATTAAGTGATATAATTAATATAATATAATAATATATAATAATACAAATATATATATTACAAAATTATAATATTATAATACATTAATAATATATATATATATATATTTAATACATTATAATATTATAAAAGCGTTGAATTTAAGCAAAATATGAAGAAAATCGAACATAAACAGTATAATTGCAGTAACTTGCATGCACTTGTGCTAACTAACGCTAACTAATGTTCGAGGGGGTCAAAAATGACCTTCGTCCTATTTAAACAGCCGTCGTGTCATTCCATATTTTCATTACATATTTGTTCACTTATGCTGCTTATCGTCGTAGAAAACGTTTAGTATCGCATAATATCATCGTAGAATGAAAAATCTGAAGAACAAGGTGCGTCTAACTGAACAATCTGTGATTCTTCAGATATTTCTATATCTGATAATACGTTGTTGCTAGAGAAATGTAGTAAATGTACCAGTTTTGCAACTTGTACAAGAAATCTGAGGTTCTTGAAGTGTTCCATTTTTCTGCAGCTAAAACTTGAAACGTTTTTCGCAACTTAGAAATCGAAAGAAATTCTTAGAAATGGAAATCCGCCGCCGCGATCACTTTTTTGCAAAATTTATGCACATTATTAATAAATAATCAAATCAATAATAATTAAATTAAATTAAATGAATTAAAAGCAATAATAAAATAAATTAATACAATTAATAATTAAATTAGGGCTGAACCCTCGATCAGTGATCGCCGCAGAAAAATCCGCGACGCTTCCAGCGAGCGAAGATTCGAACGGGCGAGCTCGAACGACCGTGCTTAGGATTTCGAAAATGTCCCAGTTTTCGCGAGACGGCACCGGCCTCGTGTACAGCGGCCGAGACGATGTCGAGTCCGCGTCATCTCGCAGCCGATCGGCCGTATACAAATTGTGTTTAATTACCAGACGCGACGGTTCTATAAGAGGCATTGATACGTCTGACATGCGCGGCTCAAGTCAGGATCCGACTTACATATGTTAATCGACGAGCCGCGCGCGCTCGCATAGGCGTAGGAGTTGGTCCCGAGGCTTGGTTCCGAGAAGAAAACCGAGCAGCGTCATCCGTGACTTTGCGAGCGTGATGTCACCGCCGGCAGATATTCCACGATGTTTGTCATTGCGTGATGCAACGACACGGGGAGCCGCGGAATCGGCGAGCGGTTCGCGAACACGACCGGAAACACGGTGAACGGGTCGCCCGAGACATTTCTATAGTTCGAGGTTAATCGATCGTGACGAATTCGGGATCGGGAAACCTTTAATCGACGGAACCGGAGCGTGCTCCTTCACGCGATCGTTCCACGTCGCGAGGATCCGTTTCCGACGACGTTATTTCGAACCGATTTTTAATCGGTTAATCGAATCGATTCATCGCTGGGAAGCGGAAGAAACGTGTCGCAAAATATTGGAAATATTGCAAAATATTTGCGAGTCGCGGTTATACAGGCTGTCCCGAAAATGTCTCGCAATCCTGAAATGTGAGGTTTCTGGGGTCATTTGAAGCAACTTTTTCCTTTGCGAAAATTGTCTCCGAGGCTTCGTTTACGAGTTATTAACGAAAAACGCTGACGCCCCGCCCTCGAGGCCACTGCCGCTGCGTCAGATGGCCGACGCGACCCGGCATTGGCCGCGAGGGCGGAGCACCGGTCGTGCTCGCCTCTCATTGGCCAGTGCTTTCCGTCAATAACTCGTAAACGAAGCCGCGGATCGCATTTTCGCTAAGGAAAAAGTTGCTTCGAATCGCCTCAGGAATCCCCTACTTTCGGATTACGAGACATTGTTGGGACACCCTGTATATTTGTCGAGTCGTCCGAAATATTCCCGATAAAAACAGAGAGTTTCGCAGCGCGGTCCGTCCGGGGGCGGAAACGAAGTCCGAGGATCGCCGGATAATTAATTAAGGCCGCGGGCCGGGCTCTGTCGATGGGCGTTTTGTAATGGGCGCGCAACAATGGATTTCGCCGGCGGCGGCGGCAGCGAGCTAAGCCTAGCCGCGGCGGAAAGTCGAGAGAGAATCGGGCCGGCCGATCGATTGCGAAAGAATTCCGTGGCTGTACGTATCTAGATGTTGCGAGCCGATCGGGAGAGTTTCTCTGTTTCTAGCGTGGCGCATGCACCGTGCTTCCGGTGGAATCTCGGCTGCGCGTCCTATTCGCCCAGGTGAGCAAACAAGCTCGCGAACGGTACCCAAGCCGCGCGTCCGCGCAACGCGCGACGATGAAAGTTGAAAATATACATCGCGCCGCCTTCGGCGCACCTGGACGCGAGCCGAACGATTAAACATTTACGCGATCCGCCCGCAGATACGGCCGGAGTATTTGTAAATCAAATTAGCCGGCGACGCCGTTGCCCGCTAACCACCAATCCCGTTCCCCCCTGCCCACCCCCCTACTTTTCACTTTCTATCGGACGAGGATCGTCTCTGCCGGTTCCTCGTGAAATCGGTAACGAAGCTGCGCCGAGAAACGCTTTACGTACGGATGGACACAGCCCGAGGAAAGGGAAACGCTTTACGGGGACGGGTTTCACGAACGAAGGTGTTCGAACATCTGGTCTTTATCTGATACGAGGCTGACGACGACGGTGGCGCGACGACGAATTCATAAATCATAACGTCATCGACGCTTTCGCAGGATAACAGGGCGTGAATTTTTCGCGTAATCAACGAAATGGCCGATTCGCGCGTACCGAGCGGTACTTTTCCGCGATGGGACTATAATCGAAATCGATATCCGACGGAGTGATTATGGTCGCACGTCGTAAACGCGTCGTCGTATGCGAGCCAAACGGAGCGAACATCATTGGAGAACGGACACAGTTCACGAGATAAAGATAATTAGCTGAACGATGTTCCATTGTGACGCGAGTCGAATGGAAGCATTGGCCGCGGACTGTAGTAGGAGTTGAAGTCGTTCTTAGAGCTTGGATGGTGTTCGCTGGTTAGCTTTTGTTCGACGAGTATACTCGTCGTGGAGAAGTGACAATATTTTTGTGTCCTGATGAAGTATAGTCGTCGTGGAAATGTGGCAATATTTTTGTGCCGTGACGAGTATACTCGTCATGGAGAAATATTTTGTGCCTTGACGAGTATACTCGTCATGGAGAAATAAGAGTATCTCGTATCATGACGAGTATACTCGTCACGGCGAAATAACAGTATCTCGTATCACGACGAGTATACTCGTCCTGCCCAAAAAGTAATATAACCATCGACTACTTAAATCGTAATTTTACTATTTTCAGACCAACCCTACACGAAGGTGGACACACATGAGTCCGAAAAGGGGGCGCCACTATTAACTGGTTAAGGGAGAGTCCCCGGCCAGACCGAGAGGCCCGAAACGGTGCCGGAAATACGGTGGCCGCCCCCGGAAGGGACCGGAAGAGGCCAGAAACGTAGAAGACTCCACGTCCGCGCCGGGACCAGGTGAAATCCGAACCGTATTATGATCGAGGCGCGTCCCTCGCCGGCTGGAAAGGGACACCACCTACTATTTGACATTGATAGCGACGTGCAAACGTTCGTCCGCCGTGGCGGCCGGCGGGAAAAAGGATGCGACAAGGTCTGGCAAGTTCAAACGATATGACGGCACGCCTATATTCGGTCCACTGGCTTCGCGATCGGCGATGTTACCGACCCTTTCCCAGCGGCACTTGTTGCCTCGTTCTTCACCAAACGCAGAAAGAACTACGCGTTTTGCCGGTTACCGAGCAACATGGCGGTCCCGTGAACTTGGGAGACTTGCGATCGCCTCCGGTTGATCGCAACCGGTAAATTAGCGTTCGGTTATTATTATTATTATTATTAGTATTAATAGTAATACTACTACTAATACTAATACCAATACTACTATAATAATAATAATAATAATAATAATAATAATACTAATAATATTATTATAATATACTAATAATAATTATTATAATAACTATTAATATTAATATAATACTAATAATATTATTACTAATACTAATAATATTATTATTAGTATTATTAGTATTATTATTATTATTATCATCATTATTACTAAATTAGAGTACAGCCAGAAATACGCTGGTTTCAACGTTTCCACCGACCCGGCGACGCTCCTTCTCTCTTCCGTGTTCGCCGCAGGACGGGCTAATTAGCGCCTCGCGTGTGAATCACCGTTCGCCGATCAACGAAATTCACGGAGCCGCAGGAAGGCGTGATCTTTTTACGATTCCGCAGGAGCCCTTCATTCATCCAGCGTAACAGGAAGCAGCGTTTCTTTACGGGAAGTGGAACGCCGAAACGCGCGCGCGCGCTCGCGCGCGGATTCCCGCGTACCGTGACGCCGACGCGAGAAACTGCATTCTCTTCTTTTTCTGGCCGCGTCGACGAGTATTCGTAATTTTCCCGATTCGGGAGTGATATCGCCGGGGCTCCGCGAGCATCGCGCCGGAGGCTGAGTCACGCGCTCGATAATTCCCGGTAAACAGCCTGTGGATAAGAATGGTAACTTAGTTTACGTAAACATTGCGAAACCGTCCGCGACGGCTCGTTATCGCGTTTTATTATTCGATACGCGAGCATTACCGAACCCACCGATTTAGAATTAATCGCGCGAAGCTGTCCGATCGCATCATCCGCGGCCCCGACGAGATTCCTCCTCTCGTCCGAAGGACACGAAAGTCGTACGATCGACGGAATCGTTAAAATAAACGCGCCGCGCGGAAAAGTCGATCGACTCCGGCCAATCGGACGACGCGAAGCCGCGCGACGAAACGCGTAACGTGTGTTTACATAACCGTGAAACAAGATCGCGTCGCGTTCGCGCGTTTCGGTAATCCGTTTAACCGTTTGCCCGTTAATTCCGGATGATGTCATCGGTCTCCGGGAAGCGTCGTTTCGATCGCCGAACGTTGGATCATCGTCGCGAAATAAAGGCGGCTCCGTTATACATATATTCTCGCGTAAAAAAAACGGGCCTCCTTATAATTCGCTGATCACTCATTGATAAGCCGCGCTCCGCGGCCCGTCGGCGATCCCCCGTTTGCGCAAGAAACGTCGTCGTCCTCTTACGAGACCAACGCGCGTGATTCACCCGGTTTCCTGCGGACGTTAATTGTTAAATTATTACTTTCACGGCGCGGATTTGGCAAGCCGGCCGCGCATTAAGCAATTATCCCCACGGAATCGGGGAGCGGCGTGTCGCTTTTATCGAACCCTTCGTTTAAACAGGTTCTCCGGGGATCGTTTACCCGTCGCGGAGATTTCGCGGGCTCGAAAGCCGAGGCGACCTTCGAGGCTTCCATAAAGTCCGCAAGCCTACGCCGACCGCGACCTCTTCAAATCGCAGTCGCGAATGAACGGCGAAGCGAGAGGAGGCTTTCGGCCGAGTCTAATCGCTTTTTTCCTTTTTTTTTCTTTTCGAAAAACGAAAATCAGTTCTGAGGCCTCACGGTCGAAGATTCCACGCGCGCAATGCGGAACGCTATGCTGGATGTCAACGGGTTACGATGGGCGTGACCGAACGAAACGTTATTATGTATACCGCGGAAAATGCTTACATGCCGGGGCTATCTGCTTCACGTTTATCTACACGCTCGCATTCTGATCTACGGTGGAACGAGTAGTTTGCGGTGTCCTTTGTAAGTTTCGCGTTAATGGCTGCCGTTACTCCCACGCGCCACATTAAGCCGCGTCGTTCCCGAGCTTGGTCGCATGAATTCTCGCCGGTGAATACGTGCAACGGCCATCTGAATACAATGGAGCTCGTCCAGGAGCTCCCCTCCCCACCTCTCGGCTCTAGGGACTTTAAATTAGGCGATTTGAATTTTGATCAATAGACCGCCCTCTTCAATGGACCGCGCCGGCTATGCGCGATGATTCAAATTTCCCGCGATTCTCGTCCTCGAGAAGTCGTTCTAGCGTTCTTTCAAATTCTGTCGATTCTGTCGATCGTTCTTCGCACGTTCGAATCGTTTTTTTATCAGTTTAAACGAAACGCGGAAACTAACGGCGGTTTACTTGTTTCTCATTTTTTTTTTACGTTGTCTAGCCTGGGTTATGTGCAACATGACAGAACAACATGACAGAGGACTCTACCGGCGGGATGGTCTCTCGATTTGTGGTTAGATGACATTTGAAATGCGTATTCGAACGTAATTAATCCATTAACATCGTTGCAGACCCGTCAAGGTAAGTATGAAGTGTCTAATTACTGTTTTCACGCGTTTCCGATGTTATTCAATCGCGTAATCAATACCGGCGCGCGGACAGATCCGAATGACATAACCTATAAGAGAAAAACACTTGTCAAAGTAATGACACTCGACAATCTTGACAAATGTGTCTTTTTCTTGTAGCAACTCCAATCTGCTTCGCGTGCGCTCGTTTAATGAATAATCTGGTAAATGGTATCATCTGTTTGCACGATTTGTCGTTGTTTATAAACGACCTGTCCTACAATGATTTCTATACAATAATTTTTTAATTGATACTTTGCGATGTTATTGTTTAAAGAGAAAGGATGGCGTTCTGTAAATGTCGTGAAAGGAATGTACAGAGTTTCCATGATGCGATTACCAGTCTATTAAATTCTAATTAACAGAAGAATTTATGTATGAAGCACACAGATGCGGTTTCTAGTGGAAAACTATCTATATTTGCTCGGGGAGAGTCGTTTGTTGTTGCACAGATACCATTAATTGGTATGTTGCTAGTAGGAATACGGCAAGTAGGTCACGACCATCTAAAAATAGTTTCCAGTGCTTGGTCATCGCAGAGTGCTGGAATGTTTGTTACAGGATATAGTGTTTCCTATGATCAGAGTGTCTAGGCATGTCAGGGAAAAGGAAAAAGGTAACCTTAACGATGAAAAAGAAGCTAGAAGCCTTATTTAGAATCGACAACGGCGAGCCACTGAAGAGAGTAGCTATTGACTTGGGGGTGGGGACTTCCACTGTATCAGACTGGAAAAAAAATAGGAAGGACATCGAGGATTTCTGTGCCAAGATGGTGTCCAGGGACAGCTTAAGCAACAGGGGAACGATAAAAAAGGCAAAGAACGTGACACTGGACAATGCTCTGTACATCTGGTACGTTAGGGAACGCAAGAACGGCGTTATCATATCGGGACCAATGCTGAGAAAGAAAGCTCTCAGCCTCAACAAAAAGTTAGGTGGAGATCCCACTTTCACGGCAAGCATGGGATGGCTGGGAAGATGGAAAGGCCGTCATGGAATCAAATTGAACCTCGCCAATGATTGTCTTTCCAACAACTCTGCTCCTGACAAGCAAAAGAACTACCATCTACTACTGGGCACCGACTATGAGTCGGAAGCTGAAGAGGACACTCGAAGTTCTGTACAGAGTAAACTCCAGGATTCGAGAAACTTGGGACACGCACAGGCAGTGGTAATGCTGGAGAAGTTAATTGCATACTTTGGTCAGCAAGGTGATACACTGGACGATGAATTAAGTACTCTTAGACGTTTGTTTGATCGTGCGTCGAAAAAGTGCCGATCGGCTATAAAGCAGGAAAAGACAAAACACTTTGTGCAATAACGATTCTCGGTGTACAGTTTATAAATTCTGTAAATATACGATAATTTTCTACGCTTTTACATTTTATTATACGCCGACGCAATAAAATGTACGGAATTCGAGGAAGAGAAAAAGGGACTGCGCATCGATTATCCTACTTTTCGCCCTATTAATCCGATGGCTCGGATCTAAAGGGAGCATCACGTGAGTAACAGGCTGGCATCCTGCGCGCAAGTCGTTTTAATCTGTTTTATGTAATCAAGCTATTTACGATGAGCCGGTGATTCGTTTGATGATCGTCATCCAATTACAGCGCCGATAGCCGTTTAATTTAATAGAATACCAGGGTGAACATCCTCTAAGAGACGCTAACCCGGGGGGATGCACGGACACACGGACCTCCTGGGAATCGCGGCAATTCCAATTTCCGCTCCGTCGCTCCGATTCGCTCGACGTACCCTAAAAAGCCATTCCTCTCCTAACGGACCATTGATTTTCAGCAAAATTATGCGTGCTCAGCAGCGAGAAAAGACCGCCATCGATACGAAATCACCGTTAGGATCTTGCAGATGCAGGAATCCTTCGAGTTTTCCGAGCGTGAACGAAGCCATCGTCCCGATACGATTTGGTGAGTTTTCCCGGTTTGGCGTTGCTTCGACGCTTCACCATTCCGTAAGATGAAAAAAGTGCTCGTTAATCTGTTCGCAGGATTTCACGCCGACAAGTTCAAGCCGACGCCACAGAAAACGCAATGAACTTGACCCCCCTAGGCGGCTTTCGAAACGAATTAGGGGCACGGTTGTTGCGCAAACAGCATTCACGCGCTGCGAAACAGCGAAACGTGAAATGAAACTTCGGTATAGAATTCCATTTAATTGCACCGATGGATGCAGCGATAACGAGACGGCGATGGTGAAACTCGTTGCCGGACTACTACAGGGTCCGCGAGACGCTTCAATCGTTGAGAACAAAGTTGGAGATAAATTGGGTTAATAATAGCGTTTCCAAGTATCCTCCCAGAACCGAATGCATATCCAGCATATTTTCATGCTACGGTATCTACGGGAGGGGGGTCATGAAAAATGACTTCACACTAACAAGCCTGAAAAGCCGCGATAGGAGCTACACCGAGTGCTATACCGAGCCAATCGAAAACTATTCGCCCCTTTATCTAATCGCCGTTCCTGCATTAATTACACGGAATCACAGGCAACAGAGCCGGCCATTCATTTATCCGATCTTTGCTTTCAATTCTCCTGTTCTTTCGTTTGTTTCTATTGTTTGAACGCGTTCCGTCGAATAGAAATTGGCGAATATTTGATTAATCGAATCATATGAAATTGTTGCTTCAAGGGCTGCAGTTAGGAGACCCCCAACAAAGAAAACTCGGCGACACGAATTTCTCGAGGCACCAATGTAATGCATTCGGCAATGATCCACGTGACGTCAGGGGCCTGTAGAAAGTTGACAAGAAAAATCTACATTCCTGCATGCGTTCCGGCAGTTTTACATTCACCGTCGCCCCGCCGTGCTGTCGGCGTCTACGTACTAGAAGAGTCTGGCCGCGTGTATGCGCCAGATACGAAGCCCGTTCGATCGTTCGTTCTTTCTTTCTTCATATAGTATTCCGTGGACGCGCACCGGAGAGGGGTCACGTACCGGGGACATGCAACTAATTACGGTGATCAGATGTCGTTAGGGATCTACCACGAAAACCAGCCCCATAACTCGTGCCCCTTTCACCCGTGCCTTTTTTCCCCCCTCTATCGGGGACAAACACTTTCGACTCGGGATGAGGTAATAACCGTGGACCCACCGTATTTTCTATCACGTTAAAATCTACTGGGTGTTCCGAAGAAACGCCAAGGGGCCCCTCCCCCTTGGCACGGTTTGGACGAACGGAACGGTAACGAATTTCTGAGATCATTGTACACTTTGTCGTAGACAGGCCCGATATAACTTTGTAAATCTTTTGAAAACAGGTTCCACGCGGATCGACGCAACGAGACCGTATAGATTTTCCCCGATTCGTGTGGTTCGCATAAATCGACGATTGACGGAACGCGGGAGTACGCGCCAAGCCTTGAAGTCTGTAACCGGAGTCGTTGGTTCTCTCGTCTTGGGTTCCAGGACTCGCCAAGGATCTTTTTCTCTTTCTCTCTCTCTCTCTCTCTCCTGCTTGTTCTCTCCGGACTCTCCACGTAGCGTCGGGCAGAAGGAAGGGGGGGATGCCCGAGAGCGGTCCAGCAACTCCCCAGAAAACGTGATCGCGCTCGCGCTCGCGCGCACGCACGCATCAGAAACGTACTTACGTTTTGCTGGTAGTACTCCAACTAACGTTTGCTAGCGATGGGACGAACTATATACTCTAAATCCCAAGGAATAAATCTAAATCCCAAAAGCTAGCTTCGAATTCTTTCAGCAAACGATAATCTTAGCTGTAAATAAGCCTTAACAACGATACGAGTTTTTACAGCAATAATCTAAACCGTGGATTTCTCGGTCTCTTTGTATTAGATAACTATCCAGAACGCAGTGATCTTTGTATCTATGCGTCAACGGTTCGAGGTTAATGCAATAACTTCTTGGCGTACAATGGAAACGTCGCGAAGAGGTCGGAGAAGAAGTTATCGGCAAGTTTTTAATCGTAACGTATCATCAAAAGATCTGTCCTATTGCGTTCGCTTTCAACGATGCTTGTTATCAAGGTTGCGTCTTCTTTTCCAGATCCTACCATTCAACAATACGCAGTATCTCCGTGATAGCGAATCAAATAATCTCCGTAAGCTCTGATCCATGATCACCTTCGGTTTTCCTAGATTCTGGCTACGGTGTCTATTACTTTGGAAGGCGCCGTCGCTATCTGAGCAAAGTCTACCGACATAGATTAGTTCCCAGCGGCGAGGCATCGAGGCTAATAGCAATGATAGCTGTCCATCTCGGAAGAACCGTTGCAGGTTGATAACACAGGGGAAGAGGAGTAGAATAAAGACGTGCATCGCGGTTAAGGCTTTGATCGAAAAATCAAGCTCACAGGGGAGCGTAGGGTCCTCTCGTAGGGTCTTTTCACTTTCTTTCATTGATCGAAAGGGGACCCGCGAAGATCGTTCTCTGCTGGATCGAGTCCATCGCTAGCCGTGGCTTCGCACACACACACGACTTTCGCCGCGTTCGACTTGTCGAAAGGCCGTGGTAGTGGTGCGACGACGCCAGGAGGGAGGGTTGATTGGTAGGGGCAAGAAAATACGGCGCGAGAAAGGGAGAAAACGGAGACGGCGAGCGGAGAGAGAACGAGAAGGAGAGGAAAAAACGACGTCCATTGAGAATTACGGTATTCGTCGAGTAGAAGAACGGGCCAGCCAGGTCTGGAGGGGCTCATTAGAAACTCGAGGCAACGGCGCGCGCGCGCGCTCGCGCGAGCACGCGAGTAATATTATTTCCTCGTGGAACGCAGGGGCTAAGGCCGATCAAATGCCGGGTACCGTTCAGGAAAGGATCGAAGTCCGCTCCAATTTCATGTGCAACCAACGCTCCCGGCCCGTTACAATAATCGCCACCCGAAGGGGAACTAGTTCCGACGGTGGAGGAAAAACGGAAAACGTCCCCTACGACGCCGATAATCCAGATGTTGCAAGCGTCTCCCCTCTAGGGAAACGTCGAGACTTTGTTCTTTGAGTTTGATTTTTTTTTCTAAGAAATCGAGCAGCGACCCCTCGCGATTGCAGTGGCGGGAAAGCGGTTATTTAAATATTCGAATTGGTTAAGCAAATCGGAGAGCTTCGCTCAGTTTTATGTCTCTTAAATGTCTCGATATTTTGTTGCCGACTGAATAGGAACTACCAAAATGTATATGACATAATTAACCGATGCGGTGACTAACGATAATAAATGAAATAATAAAATAAATTAAATAATTTCGAATAAATCTTGGAACGGTGCAGCGAATCGGCAGTTGCCGGAAGATTTAAAAGTTTGCCTCGTGCTTTTTCTGCGCGACTTTCCAGGTATTGTAGTTGCGACCCTTCGTTTCGTTTCCTTTCCCTTCCTTCCTGCCTTCCTTGCTTTCACAACTCGGATCGAACGGTCTCGGTCGAAGCCGAGTCACAAAAGTTCTATTCACTTTGCGTTTTTGTAAACAAATTCGGTTTCAGCAAAGCAAGAAAAATGGAACCCGAGTAGTTCTGAATATTCTAGTAAAAAAAAAAGAACAAAAAGAAGAGATCTACCAACGGGATAAAAAAAAACGTGTGCGCGTAAAGGCGTCCATGTGTATTTTTTGGGGGGACAGAATTTGAATGGACGCGACACACTTATCCCCTAATCTCCCGGAGATCAGCCTTTCTCGTCGGAACAGGCAGTTTCGCGAGGAATTCCTCGGTCGTGACGGAACGAAGCCTCTAAGGAGGCTTGTGCACGACGATCATTTTTCTGCGGCGTCGGATCACTGGATCTCGTGTACGAAATGTCCCACGTGACCCGTCGACCTTTGCGCGCGTAAACTTTCTGTTTGCCGATCGAACCGCCGCGAGGACGATAAACAAACTCGACTCGACGAGCATGATCTATTCGGGCGAGAGAGCACACATCGTTCGAAATTTCGTTCCGACGAACGGAGCGAACGCTGAACACGAACGGCTACGATCGAGAGCCCAGCACCGCCGGCAACAAGCTGGCCAAAGCGACTCGCAGAAATTGTTGACAAATTCCGACGAGGTACGTACCTTTTCGGTGTGTGCCACGAAGCTTATCCAAAAAGCGAAGCCAGCCGCCACTCGCCCCAAATCTCTACACTGTGTCAAACACTGTCGACGCACACCTCGAATCCACTCGAAGTACACACTCCGTTTCCCGTTGTTGTCGAATATCTGCTCGGACTTTGTTACGAACTTGGTAAACACACGCACACACGGGACAATCGAACGGTGAAAACGCACGCGTTCCAACTTAGTCGGAGTCGGAGCGGTAACGTGTTGTGCGAACCCCACCGAGATCTGCACCAATGCGTTTGCGGCTTCGAACTACGGCGGTTCTCCGTCTCGATCCCCCCCACCATCGACCATATAGGGATTCCATAATTTCCAGCGCATTTCATCCCCTCCCCGTGCGGCGAACGGACTGGAGGGCCAATCGAAGTCCCCTTCAGGCAGCAGGCGATATCTGCGAAAACACGGCGGAACTTCCAGATTTTTGAACGTCATCGTGGCGCCATTTGGTGGCGACGCCTGGAAACACGGAAGTAGAAAAACAAAGTAAATATATGGAAAACCAGTGACTCGAGACTAGAAATTAATGTCTCTTAGTTTGAAATTACTTTTAGGAATTCACTTTAGATTTGTATCACATATTTCCGTATTTATAGATAATCGTGGTTTCTCTGAAAGGGCCTATCGACAGGCATGGAAACGTCAGGCTAAATTTAGCGACAATGGCGCCTCTTGCGGCAGAAATTGGAACCTCTGCGGATCCATACAACGCTGTAATCAAGCTGGTAAACGATTTTGTCGACGGAGTAAATAACTCCAGGAAATATACAGTTGCGTTTCCTACTGTTAATCGGTCGATAAAAAAAGTCGGTAATTTATCTACCAGTTTCAGTTTTTCGTCACTACGTGTAATAACACTATTTTTATATTTAAAAGTTTGTCGAATTTGTAGAGTTTTCTGATATCATTAGTCCGCATTCATTTAGAGATATCCTATGGAGTGAGGAGCAAAAACGAGTCAACATTTTTTAAAACGGTATACATTTTTTAAAACTGGACCGACCGACTTGAATTGTTTTAGATGATAGAAAGTTTACTGGACAATGATTAAAATGCTTTCTTTCAGATAAACACAGAGGTTAACTTATTCGAGTGATTGATACCCAATTTCAAGGTTGCAACGAGCAGGTGCGACGAGTGTCTGCCGGCCGAAGTCCATGGTGAATTGCCATGGAAACCCATAGACATAGAACACAGAAAGGGTCGGCGGAATCAACAACCCCGACGTGCAAGATTGATCTGCGTGGTCGTAATTGAATCGTTAGCGTCCATGAGCGACAGTATTGTTGTCAAAACCGTAGATAAAAATGGTTCGACGAGGAGAAGGTTGACCTCGGCGGAGAGGGAGCTGTACCTGAAGCCGCTGCTGAAGTTGAAGCAACAGGAAGGGGTGATCGAGAGAGGGCTGACCGCTGCGATCGGGAACATGAAGATAGAGCCAGCTTTGTTGCAGGATATTGTCCACACTTACAGGGACTTAACGGTGAAAAGGTTATTATATATATATAATTTTATAATTATATAATTAATATAATATAATATATAAATATAATAAATTATATATATGTAATTATATAATTTATTGTATATATAATAAATATAATATATAATTATATCTAATATAATATTATACAATAAAAAAAAATAGTATCAACTGAAATACCTAGATCGACTCGCGTTTTTTTTAGGGAGGATTTTCTCAAAGGGCTGTACAAACGCATGGCCGACATTGCCAGCGATTTGGAGCTCGCCAAGGACGTCACGAAGAACCCTAAAGAGATCAAGAAGCTAGGTAGGCACTGCCACCCCCTCGATTTCATTGTCCTCGGTTAGGTTGAATATACAACGACGATTTTGTTATGTTTAGACGTAAACACGTACAGATTAAAACTGTTCAAGCTTTCGCAAAAGATCCAGGATTTGACGGGATCCTGTTCGGTTCAGGAGACGTTGGCGCAGGAGCAGACCGCGCTCGACAACGAGCTGCGGGAATTCGTGCCGCAGCTGGAAAGATGCGAAAAGCTGAGGAGATACGCTCTGTCGTCGTCCCATGGCAGACCGGAGGCCAGAACCGAGAAAATGAATCACAAGGACGTCGAGGATTTCCACGCGTTGGTGGCCAAGACAGGTAACAAGGACAATCGGGGACGTTGAACGAGGCGCTGAATTGACCTTTGAAATCGTGCGACAGGGCACACGGAAAACTGGAGTCGGGAGGACCACTCGTTATTCCTGAAATCGCGGCAGAAATGCGAGAACGTGCCCGCCTTGGTTGCTGCCATTCAGAAGAAGTGCCCGGATCTGTCCACGGAGGCCATAGTGAACCATGAAGCATGGTACAAGCTGTACCAAAATTTGCGAGAGAAGCAGAAAACAGCGGTGGAAGAATGGCGGAGGAAGAAGGAGCTGGAGAATAAGAAATCCGTCGAAGAGACGGGCGCGAGTGTCGAGGATCGTTTCGCGGAGGACGATGTCCTGAAAGAGGACGGCAAAGAAGATAGAAAGATGGTGCGAAAGGCTACCAAGATCGCGACGAGGTCGAGCAGCAGCGCGGAGTCGAATAACAGCGAGAAGAAGGAACTGATTCGAAAATGGCGAACGGAGAAGGAGAACAAGAGCAAGATGGACGAGGAACAAATGAAGCTGCGCGTGAAATTGAAGCGAGAGATGGAGGAGAACGAGAGGAGAAGGAAGAAGGAGAGGATCCAGGCTGCTCTGGAGGAGTACCGGAAGAAGAAGGCGCTGGAAAGCGCGTCTAGAGAGTCGAGCGCGAACTTCAAGGAGAAATATGATTCTTCGTTGATCAAGGCGTTCAGGTAGAAGGATCGATTTTATTTTCTATAATTTCTAATTACTACACCCAAGTGCGCCACTGATTCCGACGATTGCAGGGAGCAGGACAAAGAGTTCGCGAAGAGGAGGAAGGACCGGATACTGCGCTCTCAGAGGCAGAACAAGATGGAGCTGCCGACAACGAAGATGTCCGACTTCCTCAAGGTCAGAGACTTCTCGACGTTGCTGAACAGCACGGCGGTCTGGCGAGAGAAGTGCAAGATCGCGGAAAGAGGATGCAACGAGCTGCAGTACATCAAGGACGTCCCGAAAATGTGGGTAATCTAGGCGCCAATTAAAATGCCGATTAATTTGCACGGGGATGCGCGTTACAGGTGCGTTCGATGGCGGAACGAGGAGTCGGATCTCGCGGGCTGAAGAAGAGAAATTCCTCGCCGGAGTGTTCATTAGGAACAGGTACATATACTACTCGATCCGGCGACCGGGCGTCGTGGGTGGAGATAAGCAGGAATAAACGAGTCCGATTGATACATACTTAATTGTTTATTTCTTTTTTTTTCTTTACGAACGTACCGGTTTCTTCAGACGATGTACATAATAAGTTATTGAGTAAATGAGGCTGGGCCCTGTCCAGGTGCTGGCCGCGCGGGCCCCGAAAATGGACCTCGATACATTTAGATTTCCCCGACCCCAGTCTAAGCGGTAGAACAGAAAACAAAGAAGGAACAAAGTCCCGGTGTGTGTGTATAAAGACGATCGTTTGTTGCGTCCCGGCGGGCGTCGTGGACAACGCCAAGCCCCAGGATCCATTTACTCAAATATATATAATATACTTTCTATGAACCTTCTGCTCGTTAATTCGATATCCGTCTCTCTTTCACTCCCGCTCTCTCTCTCCCGGACACGGTCACTCTCTCCCATTCTCTCGCGTTCGCTCTCGTTAGATTACCAAATACAAAAAACATAGGTGATACAATTATATTTATATTTATATATGTATAATGTTATAATACAAATGTGCCTTCGTACCGTGCTTCAGTACGATCGATCAGGGTGACCTATTTTTTTTCCCTCCCTTTCTAGCATCACACGCTCTCTCGCTCTCTCTCTCTCTCTCGCTCTATTTTTTTTCATTTATTTATTTATTCGCTTATTTCTCAATAGTAATTTTTACGTTCACATTCACTCGATCCGAAAACGCGGACTCCACAAGATATCGTTTTATCGCTCCCCCTCCGTTCCACGCTATGTATACATACATATATACCGGCCTATATATGTATATATGCACATAGAAATATATAACTGTTTAGAATTTATAATGTATACCTCCTAGAAGTTTATTACAACGAACAATAAAGTGTTTAATGAAAAACGCTCCAACTTGTCCCATACGTTCGCACGCACTCGACCTCGTTCCCACGTCTTTAGCCCCCTTTTCTTTTTCTTGCCGCGCCACCATTCGTCGAATCCCGCCCCCTTCGCTCGCTCGCTCGCTCGCCCCCTTCGCTAATTATCGACAGACACGCCCGCATTTCACTCTCTCTCTCTCGATGCAACGAAACGACAATGCAACGTTCTCTCGCAGCCCAGCTATTTATATAATAAATATATACACGCGAACATTTTTGTACAGTTAAAGATCCGTTCACCCTTCTCTGCTCGCAGACCTGTCTCAACCCCCCCTCCTGCGTTCGTCGTCGAGCAAACGGTGTCGCGTTCTCTCAGCTGATCCGATCCGAAGTGCAACAGGTGACGATCGAATCGCAACACAAAACCAAACAGACGTTTTTTGATCGATTTTATTTTCAGAAAATAAAGTTTAGTTCGCCGCGCATTGAAAAAAAATCCGAGCTTTCATTTCTAAAATGTTTATCGTCTCACGACGGGTGGAACGACACGTTTTTTTTCGTCTTCTTTTTTTTTGTTCGTTCCAGTGCATTAAGTACCATAAATAAAAAGGAATCGAGGACCGTGATGAAAAGGAAGAGGTCTGGCGAATTCGCAATGAACGCGCTCGACGACATCGAGGCCTCTGTTTCTCTTCGCGGGGCGGAAACGTCGCGATCCTCGACCTCTCGTCCGAGCCCGCCAGGCTCGGACGGCTCCGCGGGGAAAAAAAAACGATTTCTCTAACTTCTAGCATTGCACATTCTGGGGACGGTAGAGATTACGAGATCCGAGATCGCGATATATTTCCCTCGCCGAAAGATAACCGATCGAATTTGTGTGAACGAAGCGCGTGGCTTCGTAGTACGGAGGCTCCGGAAACGGAAATCACTTGAAACGACGTCCAAGACGTGTAAGATCCTGGGAAGCGAACGCTTACAATTATGTACAGTCGATCGATCGTTGGCCGTGGACTTTCTTTTTCTCGGCTGCTCGTTGTCGCTGATTTGAACGAGAGAAAATAAAGAATGATAAGCCGCGAGGTTCGGTCCGCGACAAAATTCTGCGCGCAGAGCAGGCGTCGGTCCACCACGAAGGCGTAAGAGTCCACGGTCTGGCGTGAGTATTGAAGCAGCGTGCTCGTTCGATCCGTTAAGGGATCCGGGAAACGATTCAGTCGGCGATAAAACGAGCGGCCGATCCGGTTAACGGGTCGAACGGTCCCCGGCCCATTTCCGTCGGGCGGTCGACTCTTTAAAGTGCTAATCGAACGAATCCCGTCCACTCGCTTCGCTGCCAGATTTATCGACGTGATATGGACAAATATATAGATCTGAAGCCCGATAGAGTGCTCACTTGTAAATGGTAAAACGAAAGGAAGCGTATCGTCGAGACCTCGCTCGTCTGCGTTCGTTAACGAACCGCCGCGCGGACCGTCCTCTGCTCGTCCGCTGCCGATTGATTAATTAATTAATTCCAAATCTCGCGAGCTTCGAAGCGTCCGATTGGATCGCGCGGTGGTTCCGAAGCCTCGTTTCCTCCTCGCACAAAGTGACATTTGCGGCGACTCGATCGATGCCCGGCGACCTGCTCTTGGAGCGGGTACGCGCGACGGACAGCCCGGACTTCGGCTGCCCGAATTGCTTTTGTTCATTGTTAATGGCAGCCCACGGGGCTTTATAAACGTATAAAAAATCATCGCGACGATGGAAAGAGCGATCGGCGTGTCCCATGGTCCACGATGCCGGCGCGACGAAGCCGACACCGTGGCCCGGAACGGCCGAATCCGAGACCGCATGAATTTCGAGGAAACAAGGAACAGCGGACAACCGCGCGACTAGATTAATAGTGTACCTCCTACTACGCAATTTTTCGTTCGTTTTCGCTTTTCGAATTGATCCTATTCCACATTTTTTCGTTCACTGTTGCTCCTTCGTTTCGCAACTTGGCCAGTTTCCACGCATACATTCTTTCTCTACACTCTTTCTTTCTTTTTCTCACTCTCTCTCTCTCTTTCTCTCATTTTCTCTTTCACTGCCTCTCTCTCTCTCTCACTCTCTCTACCTGCCCCCCACCCTCTTTTTTGTTTCCCGGTCGAGAGTAAATCACTACAATTATTTTACTCCTAAGCTTGTATAAAAACGATACTTTTTTGTTTTGTTACTTTTCCATTTCATCCTTCGATACACCAAAGACGAGTGCATAAAGCAAACTATATTGGGACAACATGAATTCTGAATAAATACTTAATATTACAACAAAATCTTAAGTATTCTTCGTTTAAATGTCACCGCTATATAGTTTGTAAGAAAATAAGATACTTTACTTGAAATTTGTATGTACAGATATTACAAACAACATTTTATTTCTCTCTCGCTCTCTCTCTCTCTCTCTCACTCGCTCTTCCTGTCTTTCTCATTCGCTCTCTCTCTTTCTCTCTTTCTCTCTCTCGTAATGCATAGGCAATGTGTTTCTTTAACTACACACGTTCTATTATACACGCGCGCTGTGGAGCAAGTTTTAACGGATCCGTCGTCTTTCCTTCAAGTAGTCGCGCTTCTCTTTTCCCAAAGAAAATCAGAAACTTTTGCTATATGTCGCTCGCGATTCAAACACGTCAGCGAAATATGCCTTCTATTTTTCCTAGAGAAATCAAATGACTAATCGTGATCGATGTTGCCGTTTGCTATTACGACAATTATATCCACGGACGACCGTTTATATTTCTCCGTAAAACTTCAACGCATACGAAACCGCGTTGTACGCGGTTTTCATAAGATTTCGGGGTACTTGACTTGGACTGATTTGTACAAGCTACGTTACGTCGAGCCGAGAAACAAGAATGAAGTTTAAGAAGAAGAAGTAGAAGAAGAAGAAGAAGAAGAAGATGAAGAATAAGGGAGCGACTGAACCAAGTTCCATCCCTCGAACGTATCTGAACGCGCGTCCACCGTCTACGTGTGAGTGTACAAGTATGTCTCTGTGTGCGTACGTGTTTTGCTTGTATGCGTGTGTGTATGTATGTGAGTATGTGTGTACATGTACGTATGATTCGTCCTAGCCAACAAGATTAATCCTAAGATCGTTATTTAAAATTCTGTGATTTTTCTCTTCCTCGCTTCGATCGCACGCATACAGGATACCCGCTGAATTGCCAGCCCGCGGATCATTTTCCGAACGCCGAGCACACGGGACAGATAAAGAAGAAACAGTACAACCTATTCCACTTTCGTCTGTCCCTTGTACGCGGCGTTCAGAAGAGAATCGCCGATTCGTAATTCCGCGATCACATTGTAATTCCATTCGCTCTTTCTCTCTCTCTCTCTCTCTCTCTCTCGTTATAATCACACCCCTCGCGTCGCGTACTCTCGTCGAGCACCCAGCGTTCTCTGTACACAGTTCGGAGCACTCGCGGTACCATCGGTAAAACAGTCCGCCGCCATCTTGCGAGCGTCAACCTGGCGTCGGTTGTGTTGCGGATGTTGCAGGAGATGATATCGTCGAGGCAGCCCGCAAAGCAGAATTGTCTCCGGGGTGTCCGAGCATACACACTCACACACATAGCGTATGTATATNGATGGAAAGAGCGATCGGCGTGTCCCATGGTCCACGATGCCGGCGCGACGAAGCCGACACCGTGGCCCGGAACGGCCGAATCCGAGACCGCATGAATTTCGAGGAAACAAGGAACAGCGGACAACCGCGCGACTAGATTAATAGTGTACCTCCTACTACGCAATTTTTCGTTCGTTTTCGCTTTTCGAATTGATCCTATTCCACATTTTTTCGTTCACTGTTGCTCCTTCGTTTCGCAACTTGGCCAGTTTCCACGCATACATTCTTTCTCTACACTCTTTCTTTCTTTTTCTCACTCTCTCTCTCTCTTTCTCTCATTTTCTCTTTCACTGCCTCTCTCTCTCTCTCACTCTCTCTACCTGCCCCCCACCCTCTTTTTTGTTTCCCGGTCGAGAGTAAATCACTACAATTATTTTACTCCTAAGCTTGTATAAAAACGATACTTTTTTGTTTTGTTACTTTTCCATTTCATCCTTCGATACACCAAAGACGAGTGCATAAAGCAAACTATATTGGGACAACATGAATTCTGAATAAATACTTAATATTACAACAAAATCTTAAGTATTCTTCGTTTAAATGTCACCGCTATATAGTTTGTAAGAAAATAAGATACTTTACTTGAAATTTGTATGTACAGATATTACAAACAACATTTTATTTCTCTCTCGCTCTCTCTCTCTCTCTCTCACTCGCTCTTCCTGTCTTTCTCATTCGCTCTCTCTCTTTCTCTCTTTCTCTCTCTCGTAATGCATAGGCAATGTGTTTCTTTAACTACACACGTTCTATTATACACGCGCGCTGTGGAGCAAGTTTTAACGGATCCGTCGTCTTTCCTTCAAGTAGTCGCGCTTCTCTTTTCCCAAAGAAAATCAGAAACTTTTGCTATATGTCGCTCGCGATTCAAACACGTCAGCGAAATATGCCTTCTATTTTTCCTAGAGAAATCAAATGACTAATCGTGATCGATGTTGCCGTTTGCTATTACGACAATTATATCCACGGACGACCGTTTATATTTCTCCGTAAAACTTCAACGCATACGAAACCGCGTTGTACGCGGTTTTCATAAGATTTCGGGGTACTTGACTTGGACTGATTTGTACAAGCTACGTTACGTCGAGCCGAGAAACAAGAATGAAGTTTAAGAAGAAGAAGTAGAAGAAGAAGAAGAAGAAGAAGATGAAGAATAAGGGAGCGACTGAACCAAGTTCCATCCCTCGAACGTATCTGAACGCGCGTCCACCGTCTACGTGTGAGTGTACAAGTATGTCTCTGTGTGCGTACGTGTTTTGCTTGTATGCGTGTGTGTATGTATGTGAGTATGTGTGTACATGTACGTATGATTCGTCCTAGCCAACAAGATTAATCCTAAGATCGTTATTTAAAATTCTGTGATTTTTCTCTTCCTCGCTTCGATCGCACGCATACAGGATACCCGCTGAATTGCCAGCCCGCGGATCATTTTCCGAACGCCGAGCACACGGGACAGATAAAGAAGAAACAGTACAACCTATTCCACTTTCGTCTGTCCCTTGTACGCGGCGTTCAGAAGAGAATCGCCGATTCGTAATTCCGCGATCACATTGTAATTCCATTCGCTCTTTCTCTCTCTCTCTCTCTCTCTCTCTCGTTATAATCACACCCCTCGCGTCGCGTACTCTCGTCGAGCACCCAGCGTTCTCTGTACACAGTTCGGAGCACTCGCGGTACCATCGGTAAAACAGTCCGCCGCCATCTTGCGAGCGTCAACCTGGCGTCGGTTGTGTTGCGGATGTTGCAGGAGATGATATCGTCGAGGCAGCCCGCAAAGCAGAATTGTCTCCGGGGTGTCCGAGCATACACACTCACACACATAGCGTATGTATATATACACAGGGGCGCGGACACCACCGCACTCACACTAGAAAGTCAGGATCACTGTAGTCGTCGCCGCTGTCGCTGCTGTCGGAGATTCTTCTCCTCTTCTTCTTTTTATGCTTCTTGACCTTCTCCGTTTTGTGCGAGCGGTGCTTGCGGTGCTCCTTCGCCTCCGAGTGCGCGTGTATCGTCAGCTTCGGCACGCGCGGCTGCATCTGCTGGGGCACCGGAGGCGGGTGCATTGGCTGCATGGGCACGGGCACAGGTCCGGAGCCAGCTACAGAATTTACAGAGTTGTTCGGATGCTCGATCGTCGAGTTCACGTTTCCCTGATAGTTACCCATCGCGTTCCCATCACCTAATTTCCCGTCCAGCTCCGACTGGTGCGCCAGCTTCGCGTTCTCCGCCAGTTGCTTGCCGCTCGAGTCCCCGTCGTTCCCGTCCTCCTCTTGTTCCTCAAGGTCGAACTTGAGCATCAGCTGCTTGAAGTCCAAGTACTCCTTCACCAGCTTCTTCCTGCCCTCCGCGTCCAGCTCCTCGTTGCTCACGCCGTCCTTCAGTCTCTGCAGAGTAGCCTTCGGTTTGAACAACAGGTTGTTCTTCCGGTTCACGGCTTTCTCGTAGACCTTGGCGGCCTCCGTGGGCGAGTACTGGCTGATCTTCTGATCCGAGAAGCCGTACAGGTCCTTCAAATGCTGTCTCAACGTTAGCAAGAGCAGGAACCCTTGACTCGCAGTAATGTACTCCCTTAGCACGGTGGTGTCGTTCGGTAGCCTTGCCAGCAGGACATCCTCGTCCTCTTCGTCGTCCTCCTCGTCCTCCAATACCAAAAACAGTTGTTCGGGCCGCGGCTGGCCGTCGGGGCCCAATGGCGTTTGATATTGCGTATGTTGTTGTTGTTGTTGTTGTTGTTGCAGTTGAAGTTGTTGTTGTTGTTGTTGCAGCTGCTGCTGCTGCTGTTGTTGGTTGCTGCCTTCCTTCGGTAGTAACGCCTCTTTGAACGACTGCAGCAGGTTTGTACCGGACATCGAGATGATGATGTCGATGTGGTGGATGATGAACAGTGGCTCGTCCTGTACTTGATATGTAAAGTAAGCGAGATTGTCGGCCAGATACAGCATCTGCGACAAACTCGTCTTCGCGGTTTCGTCGAACTGCTTCAGGAAGGACAACACGATCGCTCGCCTCTGCTGCTTCGTGTTCCTCAGGATCGTGTAGAGGAAACCGTTCAACGCGCCCGGGAACTCGCCCTCCTTCACCCGCATACCCCTCACCGTCATCTCGTTCTGCAAGATCTTCTGCAGTCGGTAGCTCAGCCTGATACCCAATTGCGACTTCATGTGAATGAAGCCAGGATACTTCTTCTCGATGTCCTGCAGCTGTTTGTCCGCGCTGTGGCTCACCGCTTTCTCGCAATCCGTGCTCATACAGATCAGATACGGGACGATTTGCACCGGGTGCACCAGGCCCTGTGCCAGAATCAACTGGATCACCTTAAGCGCCGCGTGCCGGACGTTCACGTTGGCGTGCAAGAAAGCCTCGAGGATCTCTTTGACGTACAACTGGATCACGGTGCTGGCCATACCCGAAGACACGTCTCCCATCTCCTTCAAGTTCTCCTGCTTCGACCTCTTGGCCCACTCCATGTCCTGCTTGATCATCCTCTTGTCTTCCTCCTGCAGGTACACCTCGACGTTGTTCAACACCTGGATTCTCATGTGGACAAGCGCGTTCTCGGACGTGAGCAGATGATGGTAGAGCTCCTTCAGCTCGGGCAACAGCATCAGCTCGTAATGCCGTATGCAAAGGGAGCCGATCGCGGACAGCGTGAAGTGCTTCACGTCGTCGTTGTCGAGATTCACGAAGTAGTTGAGCGTCTCGAACACCTGGTCCTTGATGTTCTCCGCCAGGCCTTCGATCACCTCCGGGTCGGTGAAGTTGAAGTGCCGCAACAGCAGGCCGACCGTGAACAACGCCCGCCTGACGAACGGTCGGTATTTGAGTAGCATCGGATTCGTTGGATTCTTCTCGTAGAATGATTTGTACTCGGTCAGATGACCGTAATATTTCTTAAAGCAGTCGCGGATCAATTTAAAGTTCCTGGTCACGTTGTTAACTATAGAACCTAAGCAGGACAGGCAGCTGGCCACGACCGAGGGGTCGTGTTGCAGGATCAGCTTGACCGAGTCCTCCTCCAGCTGCGCTAAAAAAGTCTCGCTCGGATGTTCCATCAGCGGCACAACCAGCTCCAGTGTGTGCGCCACGCTGCTGATGATCTGATAGTCGCCCTGCGTCTGGCACTTTAAACTTAAATAAGGCTGCAATGTGATTGCGTGGTTCACCAGCAACTGCGGCCGTATCTTCGCGAACAGATACAAGGTAGTCAAACAAGCGACCAGCCTCTGCGAGGAGCCCTTCTTCTCTAGCTTCTCGGCCTCCTCCAGGTTGGTCTCCTCCAGTCGGAGCACGTTTTCGATCAGACAATCAACAATCTGCTTGCACGCAGTCAACAACGCCTTCGGCGGCTCGGTTTGCATTTTTGTACTATCGTCTTTGTCCTCCTTCGGCTTGAACAAGCTTACCAGCAGCTGTTCGAACCACTCAAGGCCCATGTCTTTGCTAGCTGCCACGACGTCCGTGATGTTCATCACCTTCCTCAACAGCGACTCGGAGTCCAGGCTGGGACGCTCTCTGACCGGCGTGAACCACATGTTTTGAAACACCTCCATCACTAATTTCCTAATGCCTTCCTCGTCGTTCACGCGTCTGATCATCTTCACACAGATCTCCGGTATCTTCGGGAAGTCGGGGCACTCCATGCAGATGTCCTTCAAGATCTTGATCACCCGTTTCCGCACGCTGACCCCGGTGTCCAGAATCCTCGCCAACAGCATGTCGTAATACTTGTCTATTAATTCCGGCCTACTTAGTACAAATTTCCCTACCAAGTCAACGGCTGCTTCCCTCACGGACGTCGCGTGATCCAGAAACGAATGCTTTACGCCCAACTGCATGTCCCCCCTCGCCAACACGCTCGGATCGGCCTCGACGATCATCGTTAGACACTTCATCGCCTTCGTCCGGATCGCTATCGACGACTCCGTCAGCACGTGCAAGATCTGCTTCAGATACCGGTCGAAGCTCTGCGAGAACGGCCTCTTCGAGGCGAGATACTGCGATATAAGCTCTGCGGAATTGTAATCGATGTACGTCTGTAGGATGTCCGGCTTCGTGCCCGTGCTGTACGGCCTTATTCTACTTATAATGTACTTCTTCTTCTCCTCGATGATCCTGTAAGCCTCGGAATTCTTCTGCTCGTTGTTGTCGTTCTCGTCCGGGTCCGGCTCGTCGAGATCGGATTCCGAATCCTGATCGCTCGAGTGGTGCTTGTTCTTCTTCTTGACCCTCTTCTTGTGCATCTTTTTGCTGGGGCTATTCTTCGCTTGCCCAACCTTCGACTTCTCGACCGCGCAGTCCCGGTACCATTGCGCCAGGTAGAAATGACGGGCATAGCCCAATGCAGAATCCTTTGTCCCGTTTACAGCCAAATAGTCCAACAGGACCTTCTGTAAAAAAACTGTCCTCTCCTCGTCTTCGCTCAGACCGTGGATCTCCTTGTCCTTGACCTGGTCGTAATCGGAATCCTTCTGCTGCTCTATCTTGATGTCCTTGATGATCTGATCGATCGTAGACAATTTACAGTGAGAGCTGACGGCGTCCTTCCGCAATCTAGCCGCAACGACGCCTAGATAGTCGATGGACGCCACCCGGAGCGACATGTCCGAGCTTTTGTTTGAAAAGTGACCCACAAGCAGCTTGCCAAGCAAACTGAGAAGCAGTTCCGCTGCCGGCCATTCCGGCTTGTTCACGGTGGCCAGCAGATCCTGCACGAAATTCTCGAACAACGGTCTGTAATCGATCTCCTCCCCTTTGCTGCCGCATTTGCTCAGAAATACGTTTAAAAAATTCCCCGCTATTCTGGTCGCCGTCTCGTACTTGTTGATGATCAACACGTCCGCGTCCACGTAGCTCGGCTTCTTCTCCTCCTTCTTCTCCTCCTCGTCCTGAGATTTCTTCTGTTGCGGTATCGCGTTGTCCGACAAGACGACTACACACTGAATCAGCTGGAGCACCAACGCAGTCAACATCTGTATGTGATCCTCGGAGTTCAATCTGTACGTTCTCAAACTTCGCTTGCTGCTCGGAAGCCGGGCTATGGACGCCAGTATGTCGTCCAGTAGCAGCCTTCTGTGCTTCTCGTACTTGGTGAAGATTACGGTGACGAGCTTTAGCGCGCTCAACTGAAGATCGCTGACAGACTCGACGAAGAAGGGCGCGACGCCCAGCGTGGACGCGTGTAGCACACTGGTATCCGTCAGCACCTGTATGTTTAGCAGTTCCGCGAGCAAGCCGACCAGCTCGTGCATCTTGTTGTACACCTGGAGGATGCTCTTCTCGCGGACCTCTTTCATGTGACCCCTCTTCTTACGGCCGCTAGAATTATAATTGTCAGTCTTGTTTTTCGTGTCTATCTTATAAACGGGATCGAAAGAGGGATATATTGTATTCTGCAGCTGAAACTTCATGAACAGGACTATTCTGTCGATTACGTCTTCCAGATAGACCATCTTCGGCATATTGTTCGACGTCATGATGTGCAACGCGATCAGAGACGCATCCATCGCACGCTGTACCCTCTCCATGGCCAGCTGCATCCACAAACGACTCTCTTCGATGTCGTCGTCGGGGTCCGCGAGAGGCGATACCTTCGCCCCATCACGGATGTTCTTCTCCAGAATGTTCAACAGTCTGACTAACCTGTCCGAGGGAATCGACTCCATAGCCCCTAGCGCCTTTAGCTTGGCCGCTTCGGTACAGAGGTCGTGCAGCTGGTACTTGGGGATTAACAGCTCCGGAGGCACGTCGCCGTCATCCTCAAACTCAGCGTTGGCCGCGGCATCTTCCGTGTTCTCGAATATCGTCTCTATGGTTGTGTTGAAACGCTGATACGTGTTCGTTTCCATCAGCTCCTCCACGCTGAGCTTCGCCAACACCGGAACCAGCTTCTTCTCGATCTTCCTGATTTTTGGCTTACTCGGCGATAACTGCTGCTCCTTCTTCTCCTCCTCTTCCTCGTCATCATCGTCCAATACCCTTCTTCTTCTGCGCGTTTTCTCCTCGCCCTTCTTCCTTTCTGCCTTCTCTTTCTCCCGTTGCACCTGACGTTCTTTCGCTCGTGCCTTAAAGTATTTATTGTTCTTACCTATTTCTTCCTCGCTTTCCGACTCGGACTTCACCTCCTCGCGATTCGAGATTCCCATTTTCGCCGCGCGACTTGGCGACTTCTCCGCGAACGCAGCTAAACTCTTCTGCATCAGAGCTTGGTCCGCGAGAGATAGTCTGTCCAACATGACCACCGGCTCCTTCAGTTTCTCCGGTAAAGGGCCAGGCAGCTTTAGCCCCTTTTCCGAGTTATTGTTCTGCTGATGCTGTATGATCGGCGTTGGGTTACTATTTATAGCATTGACCATGTCTCCGGTCTCCATGCTAGGGTAGGATGTGGCCTGCGTCGTCGACAATAAATGCTGCGTCGCGTTATCCATACCTTGTTTCGCCTCGATATTTTCGATCGGCAAATCGATGTCGGGAAGACCTGTCACCGGATCTAATAAAAACTGTTGGTTTTCCTGCACTGTATTGTCCAAATCCATCGGCTGATGCGTACTTAGGGGATGATGCACTTGTTGGTTCATCATCGGATCGTACACATTCTGCTGCATGCTAATGGTTTGGTGTTGTTGGATCGGCATATTGGGTCCCATGGAGGATGCCATGTGCATGTTATGTTGGGGCGTCATACCGGCCATGTTATGGTGTTGGGGGGTTAGATTACCGAGAGTCGTTAACGGCGTACCTGGGGAACTCATATGTGCTGGAGAGTACATGTTCGGCTGCGGTGTCATGTTAGGTAGGGGGTTGATGATACCGGTTGGCGGAGGGAGTACCGTTCTAGCGGCAGCAGGGTGTGCTGGACTACCTTGCGGCGTTTGTCTCGATCCCGAGGAACTCGAGTAGGATGGAGAGAACCGTCCGTAATTCGCCGACGTTTGATTGCTATGCATCATAGGCGTACCTTGGGGCCAGTTTCTCGGCGAATTGTACTGAGGACCCTTGAATACGTGTGGATTTATCTGTAGAATCGCTTTCAGTAGCTCTGGAGTATTTTGTTCGGTTTCCAAAGGTTGTACCGTATTTGCATAATTGTCTTTCAGCTCTATGTGATCCGAGGACGTTTGCGACAGGGACAATATCAGCTGCGGCACCAAGTTCTCGTTACGGACACTTAGCAGGATTTGTGCTTCTTCGGCCACTCTTGGATGAAACAGAAGGGACTTGTTAGTCAATGTCTGCGGCAGCGGTGTTGGAAGGGGCATTTCAGGCAACAAGTCGGTGAGACTCGCGATACCAGCGAGAGTTGTGATTGGCACACTCGGTATAACCCCGTTCATCTTGAATTTGATTTGTTCTGGCATTACAGCCTGGACAAAAAATATGATTAAAATTAGGTCCAGTGTCCTTACGTGTACTCTGAGGTTCATAGAATTATCCAACGTAACGAACACCGCACTGACATGTAGACAAAATGTTTTTCATTCACAGTATATGATAAATATAAATCAACAGAACATATCTAAATGCACTGTTCTCACAAACGTTCAAAGAAATCATTGTTGAACTTTTTGTTTTTACACACGCATGTTCAAGACATTCCGATATAAGAATTGTTTCACCGTCGAACAGAATTGTATCTAACGCTTGTCAAAGAACACTAGCACTAAGGCGTATACTGGGAACTTAACAAAGTCTCTTTTAAGTTCCCATGGTGCACCAGAATGTATCAACCAAATTTTGAAGAAGCTCGAGGATCCTCCAATAATCGATCCATTGTAAGTCCTAATTTTTTGTCCTGAAATACAAAATATTCTGTTAACACGAATAATCATATAAAAAATATAAAGAAAAGAAGTGTCAAACATCGATGAAATCCAATAATTTTTATATAAATTCTATTATAATCAATAAATAAAATGTTTGCATAAATTTATAATAACTGCTCGTACTAGAAAGGAATTTAAAACATTCTACAGTTAGATGAATCTGATACAATATTTTTTTGGAGTACATTTTTTAAATGTCAGTAGAAAACGTTCAAATTTTTTAAAAATTATTTTGTAACGTTATTTTATTCACAGCAATACCAAAACTATTACTACCATAGTAAATATTGTATGATCAAAACAGTGCAACAATTCTCATTACTATTACCATCATAAAAGCACATATAAAAAGATCCACACAATGACTTTTTCGGTTGTCAGTTCACCATATCTAACTGAAAAGGTAAACAAATTGGTGGTATCGCTATGGTTGCATGAAACCAATGTTATTACCTTCACTTTTACAATATCCACCATTCAACATCATACATATGATAACATGGCCTCAGGAGTGGATGCTACAGGCTGACAAACTCCCTTATGGATGGAATTTTGCTAAATCATAAAATATCACCGTGGTTAGTAATAAGGACAAAAATGATTTTATGCGATATCAACGGAGAAAATGGTATTTCATTGATATTTTATCAATTGCCTTACCCAGCTGTGTGGAATAATTATTTATCCTGCAAATTACAGCATCAATTGGTTGAATGAAAACATCGATGGTCAAATTGTTCACCAAAACAAACAGTCCCTCTGTACCGAATCTGCTACAAAAAGAAAACTTTTTAAATTATATAATCTCTCATTTACTTATTAAAAAGAATCACTTTCTGGAGTATAACGATGCATATGTACAACTATAAACCAATAGTTCCATGTTGTATCACAAAAAGTATCACATGGTAGAACAATTTTCATTATTATTATAATTACTTTCCACAAATCTATTAACAATCACATTAACCAAGTTGTTATAACACTTTTTATAGAAAGATCTATAAATACAGTATTATCCGTGTAATCAATAACAGCGACTCGTTGATCATGCACATCACCGACAAAAACAAATCGTTCTCTTGTCGAAAATATGACCCTTTAATAGCACAACTCTTTCAGTCAGTGATTCACTTGATCCTATCGAAAATGCACACAGATTGGTGGTGTCACTATGATTACACAAAGCTGATGGTATTACCTTCGCTGGTAGAATATCCACCATCCACTATCATATGTATGATAACATGGCCTCAAGAGTGGATGCTACAGGCTGGCAAGCTCCCTTGTGAATGATATTCCGCTAAATAATAGAATCACCGTGGTCAGTGATGGAAACAGAAACAGTTTTACAGGATATCGACGGTTCAGACAAGACTTCGCGTTGAAGTTTCGTGTCGGTTGCCTTACCCAGCTACGCGGAACGATTATTTATACTGCAGAATGCGAGCAGTGAATGGAATTTTGGCGGGAGGCGTATCATAATCCAAGATCCCTGGGCAGTTCAGCGTGTGAAAACCATCGATGTTCACGCTGTTGGGCAAAACAAACGGTCCCTCCCTGCCGAAAACGCTTGCGAGAACTTCTCGTCGTGAAGATATTCGCTCAATTGTCATCCGTGGTTGTGGCCTATTTGGTTGGACACGTTCGGCCGTCGATCACTAGTGAACGCGTTCCGCTCGCCGGCACTGCGCGATTTTCACTCACGTTTCTCGCGACACCGCGTAAACATCGCCATGTCAAAGGTGGTGCATCGCGGTGAAAACAGTATTTATAGTGCGAACACGAAGAAAACAGACACAAAGGCGTCCATTTTGCTCAGCAGCGAGTTAGCGGAAGTTGCGTAGTAGATACGGGCCAGATACAGGTATACCGGCGCTACGGCGTCGCATTTCAAATTATCGTGCGCCGTTCGCATGAACGCGATGAAATTTAATCCTTGCTATCGGTAAGTATCAATCGATTCATCCGACAAATTATCCTTTCCGACAATAGAACTGTCATCGATCCTCATTGTACATTCATTCTTCAGGTTATGTAGACTTTCTATTCGAGTTCAAGGAAGTCCCCCATGCTTAAGGAGAACATTTATGTGTGGTTCAAGATCAACGGCAATTTGATCGAATCGAAACGAATCAATTTATTCGGTATTCTTCTCAGCGAAATGGAACAATTACGATGATTAGGAGCGATGATTGATCTGTGAAATGGATATCTATGAAAAAAATCAGCAGTTTTCATGAACGAATTTCTAGGAGGATTTTTCAATCTACGTTGCAGTTGCATACTCGATGACACAATAAAAATGTTCCCAGATGGCGCCACCGACACCTCTTTAATCTCATATAATCTTTCCGTAATTAACGTTTAAGATTACATTTACCATTTAATCGTCGTTTCAATTAACTCGGTCACAATACGAATTAATAGATTTAATTGTTCTTCTCGATTACTCGTTTCCGAGAACTATAATTGTCGTACATGAAACGTTCCATAGAAATGATCGCTTCATTTTTTAACCTAGTCGAAAATATAGTATTCCACGGGAATAGTTACGAAATTTGATAATACCGTAATTAGAAATTCCATTTGATAATCTTTCGCATATGCATTAAATATTGGTACATACTTGATTTGTATAGAGGGTGTTCAAACATTTCTCATTCCCTGTTTTCGCGCGAATCAAAAATTCGAATAATTTCGTAACGCATCGAACTAATTTATCTCGATCGAACGTTTTCCACCGAATTAATTTGATAATGCGGTAATTCGTAGAAATAGAGTGGACGTTTGTTTTGTGGAAGCGATTGCGGGTTTTTCGTACACTCTGTGTTTGCCTCTCGATTTGTTTCAGACGTTCGCTCGGCAGAGGGCTGCCTGTTCGCGGCGATTTCGGCTCCCGTGCTCGAGGAAAAATAGAATCTCGAGTCTCGAGTAAAAACTCCAAAATGGCGCGACTGCCGAGTGTAAACACCCAGTTTTGATGTTAACGAGGTGCACCAGCCGCGAAGAGTTCGCGTGAAAACCCGACTGGTCGTTTGGTTCATTTTTCTGTGTTAACAGTGTGACGAACAAATTCTACCTGAATGTTCACTGTATCTACGATCGAACCTGTTCGATTAGGTAAATATCGAACCTGTTTGACATTGAAAGCGTTTTCCTGACGGAGTCAATTAATTACACGGGGGAATTGTATCCGGGAACTTTTCAATGAAACCATCTTCTACCAATCGATCGGTATTCCTCCGATAATATCGACGGGTTTTCAATTTAATTTCGCGAAGGCACTCGGTATTGATGCTTCTTTTTAAGTGGGACACTTTTCCAAAAGTAATTTATTATTCAAACTCTCTGTAAATTGTTCGCTGGACTCATTGCGCAAACCAATCTATTTTTATCTGTTCTGTAGCACGTATATTTGACCTTATATATAGACAAATTTGATGTGTGAGGTAGTATTAATTATGTAGGAATTTAACATATTAATCTACGCAGAACATATACATAGATTTGTCTGTGGGAAATTTTATAATTGGAGTAATATTGGATATTTCATTTATATTGGATGAATGCTTTCTAAATTTTACACATAATATAAAAGAATCAACATTAGAAGTAGACGTGTTCATTTAATGGGCTAACGGGTAGAATCAATTGTGCAGTTAATTGTGGGAACGTTTTTCAAGATTGCAATAGTTTTTGTAGGAATCCAGAATTGACTATTGTTTTTGTAGTTGCAGGGAACGACCCGAGTAAAATGACGCAGAAGCGCAGTGCTGGCATGGCGCATATCGGGTAAGTCCTACTGTCCTTTTTTGTTCATCATTGCATATGTTATTGCATGTCTTGTTTAAACTATAGTCTTGAAAATGAATATTATCCAAATAAATTTCAAGACAATTAAATAGCTCCTATCAACCGAGCAGTACGCATATGGGATCCATTGGACCCCGATCATTAGGAAGCCTTATCTCCTTCTTCTATTTATGTTATATTAATTACATTATACTAATTTTAATAAAGAGACATAAAATATGTGCAAATATTCATATATTATTATGAATAACTGTTACTTTTTACTGGGATTCAATGAGTATCCCACGTGGATATTTTTGTTTCAGAAGTACATATGTGTACTGCCAGGTTAAATAGGGTAATAAATTCATATTGGAAATTTATTACTAGTACAATTTATAGAAAGAACAACATACGTACAGGGTGTCCCAGCTTTGGTGGTCCAATAGAGAATGGCTTGATTCTACATGGAAAAACAAATCGAAAATAAGGAATGCAATTTTTTCATTCGAGGTTTCGTCGTCTACAAAATCAATTATAAATATCATTAATATCATTAGTATCAACACGACGTGCTGTGTTACTCATTTTCGACTATGGATTTCGAGTGGATTTGAATGAAAACAATGTAATTTAGTTACTAGCTTATTTTATTAACGTAAAAATTGTTGAAAATTTTCGTGACAACGATGCCTCAACAAAAAACAATTTTGTTCTTCATTTTCAATTTATTTGTTTACATAGACTCACCCCCTCCTCGGTTCCACGACCGATACTGAGACACCCTGTATACGTGGATGTTTTACTGAAAATATTAATCAAGTAAATAGCGAATAGAACATTTAAAACAATTAATAAACCGAGACAGTTGTTGAACAAAACGATAATAAAAGTTCTTTCCGAAGAAAACTGAAATAAAAATAAAATAAAAGTTTGTCCTGAACAAAACTAAAAATAGTTAGTCCACGAGGTCTCGGGCAATTAATAGGTTCAGTCCAGCACAGCGATAGCCAATTTCTGGGCCGTTAATGTTCTTTCGCTTTGGCGGTTGCGACATCACGCAAGAAACATTTCGTTATCGCGAGCGACACATACTTTTGCCGTTCAGGCCATTTGGCTTTTAAAACAATTCTTCTTGCACTCGTCGATTCTATTTGTTCCACGGCGGCGTTTCCCTCGCAAAAATGAAAACTCTGCCCTCAAAATCTCTCAACTTCTCATTACCTAAAATAGCTAAAAAATAGCAACGTCTCCAAAAACATTAAAAAAACATTAAAGGTTCAACAAATTACCCGAAAACGAACCCACCACCAACGTTTAAGATTTCGTCGCAAAGACAAAAAGAATGATCCACAAAACAAAATTCCCAACGCGTTCACAGCCGTTCCAATCCGCAACGTTCACACGAAAACGCGCGTCTCCAGGCTCCCAGCCGTTGTATTACCAAAAAAAACCACGCAAAAGAATAATGAACAACGCGTAAACGAAAGTGGAAGCTTCGAGCTTTAAAACAAACCTCGGTTCGTCGTTCCACGACTCGTTTCCACGGAAAATTCCAAGTTAGAAAGCCTTCTCGGAGACGCGGCAAACGACGCGAAGGTGTATAAATATTCCCTGAAACGATCCCGGAAGGATCTAGGACTAGGTCGCGGTAAATTTTCGGGAAAAGGTTTCCCGTGGTTCGAGCGGGCCGCGGCGGTCTCGCATGCTCGTCCTCCTCGTGGACGCATAGCGTGCAGAACGAGGACGATGCATCCCGAGTTAAAAGTCATGCTTTACACGGTGGCTGTTCTGGTGGCTCTCTGGTGGGAGAAGTGATAGTCCTTAGCGGGGTATAGCACGGCGGCACATTATGCGGCTATGGTGGAATCAGTCACTGGCGAGTTGTGGGTGGTGACTAGTCGGCGACCCATCCGTCCGAGGAACGTGCTTCCGCGTCCGTACGTTTCCGACGATTCCGTGACCACGTTCGATCGCGCGATCCACGAAGCGTCGTCGGTCCTCGAGTTTCTCCCCGGTAACCACGGCAACCACGGCGAGCCGATTAATCGCGGAGGCGGCGGGGGACCGATCGGGAAAATGAAATCGGCTCGGACCGCTCGGTCCCGATTTCGCGGACGCCGGTCCGGGAGCACGGACAGGCTCCTCTAGGACCCATCGACGACGACGACGGGATCGATCCGAGGGATCCGCCGCGCGGGGGAAAGGGGGGGATCGATGATCCCTGAACACTGGTGCGCGACCGACGCCGGCGATCGAGACGGGCCCGTTAGTGAAAACCGTCGCCGGCGCAGCGAGTGTCAATCGTTCGGATTAGTCTTGCGGTCTCATTAGTCCCGGCTGGCCGGCGTGAAAGCGGCCCACAGTGTATCCCCGAACGCTTTCGAAAACGGCACCGAAACGCGCGACGCCCGTCCGTCCGCGGCCTCTTCCGGATGTTTCGCTGGGCCTCCGCTCGCCCCGCCGACGAATCGCCTCCCGAAATCGTGGCCGCCGAATCGCCGATCTTCGTCCTAGTGCAGTGAAGAGAGAACCGCCGGAAACGGCCGGAGAAGATCGCCCCGGAGGTTCCTCTCGGGGTACTCCCCGCAGCCGCGGGAAAATTTCACCGACGAGCAAACGGGTCTGGAATATTCCGGCGCGAGGGAAAGAAACGTGGGGAGAGAAGAGTGCGAAGTATCAGAGATTCATCGGGCATAGATCTCGGCGCGGAGCCCGGTAACGAGATGACGAGATAGTCCCGGGTGAACGAACGGTTCCAGGATTCCAATAAGGGGATCGCTGATTTCAAAAGGGACGACTCGTCGGGTCTGTTCGTGGTGTTCGACGGTGTTCGCCGAACTTCCGCGGCCCTCTTTCCGCCGCTAAAACCAGCTCTCTGGATGTGCCGGCAAATTGGATGACGCGGCGCGCGGACCGGCCGCGAGCACGGCGAACGCTTAAATGGCTCGTAGAACTTGTTAGAACTTGCAGATATCCTGGGAGCGAAGGCGAGATATCCCGGGAGCAGAGTGCTCGGCGATTCGGACGAAGAAAGTCTCGTCGCCGGGCGATAAAAGTCTCATCGCCGAGAGGCACGCCGGCGGAACTTCGCGGAATCGGGTCTCTAGGCCCCGAAACTCCGCCGGAGCCGATCGGATCGGCCGTTTCCGCCGCAATCGTCTCATCTCGGGGCCCCGAGATCCGCCGATAGCCGGGGATCGGGACACTTGTTCCTCGCGGGGAACACGAACTGGCCCCGCGGAGCTGCCGCGGGACGTAAAAGCGAACCGTCGGGACTGCTCTTGGATCAACAAGTGTCCTAGGACCTCTTCATCGCCGGCGGGAATCGTTCGAGGACGCCGCGGGTTACGTTGTTCGAGTGATAGTGAGGAAGAGTTTCGAGGGTTTCGAAGGTTCGAGGAGGTTCGGGTTTTATGGGAAGCGGCGGGCCCGCCGCGAAAGTGTCGGTGCCGCGAGGATCCCCGGGGCCCGCGGAGGACATTTTCATTGTTGCCGGGCGCGGGCGAAGATGAAGAGATAGCCGGGCAGGCGACCGGACGCAGGGGGCTCGGGGATCGATAACCAGGGGGTTCAGCAGCGGGGTCCGCGAGCTCGGCAAAATAGAGTACCCCGGCGGCAGCGGTATGTACGGGGGTGGCGCGGGGAGCGGGGGCTACGGGGTCGGTTTGGGCCCGGGCCCAGGCGCGGGCCCCTCGCACTACATACCCTCCGCTTCCTCGGTGGGCTACCAATTGGCCCCGCCGCCCCCGCCGCCTCCGCCGAGCTGCCCCACCGCCGGCACTCAGCTCCTGTCTTACGGGCCCACCCTATCGCCCCATCACATGCAGCAGGCTCACGCGGACGCGCAGCAGTCCAAGAGACGGAGGTAAATCATCCGCGAGCTTTCTTCTTTTCTCCTTCGGCCGGGAGACTTGTTGCTCCGACGCCGCGAGATCGACGGCTTTCCGAGCCGTTTTTTGACCCTACGCGGAGTTTACCCTCTCCGGGCGCCGGGAAACTGGTCGAACAACGGGGTCCTGCGGCCGCTAGACGGGGGCCCGATGCTGGAATAGCGCCGTGGAAGAGAGATTTTCGGCGGCTGTTCGATAAGCGCTCGCTGCTCGGGCTTCCGCCCGCTCGCTCGGGCGCCTCCGGGAGTCGGCGAGCCATCCGCCGACCAATCACGCGCTCGCTCCTCCCACTTCCCGCGTCGCTCGTTCGCCCGCGCGGCCGGGGGCGGTCCCCGCGGACAGTTATCGAGCGTCCACTTTGTCTCCGTTCGGGCGCCTCCGATCGTGTCGCGCGGCAAACTCTGCGAATCTGTGGCCGTGATTCACTCGGTTTGTCATTGTTTTTCGTGGCGTGGACTCTCGGACGAGGCGCGGGACGGCTCTCCTTTGTTTATAGAACGAAGTTATCGGCGCGGCGCGTGATCGCGACGCGGGAAACGGATCGCGGAGCTCGCGGAGCGTCCCTCGAAACGGGACGCGAGGAACGCGATGATTATTCTCATCGCGCCGTTTCTCTCTCTCTCTCGCAAATGTCCCGTTCGCTCTTCTTTCAATTAAAATCCGCGTAAACGGATCAAGCTCCGCCGTTTTCCGGTATCTCGATCGTAGCGGGTGGGCGGCCGCAACGGGATTTCTAAATTGTAAATGACCCTGGGCTGCATGGTTAACGACGACGGGTGGGGGGGAGAGGAATGAAGGAAAGCAGAAAAGAAGCCGGAGCGCATTACGCCGGGCACAACCGTGTTCGGTCTGGTTTAGTCCCGGCAGTCGTGACCGTCGTTCCTTACAATTGCTTATTGAAATTGAGAGAGCCGAGAGCGTGTACGCCGGCTCTCGAGCGGATTCGCAATTCCCTTAAATCAATAGCGACCACCATTGGGGCACCGCGGCGAGACCGCGGGGGGAGCACGGAAAAGTCTTCCTGCGGTTCGCCGAGCAGATTTTCTTCTATTGGCCCATTATGCCGCGATTTACGCCCGGCAATTGGACAATACGTGGCTCGTGGGTCAACGATTCGCGGATTATCATAAAAGTCTGTCCGACCGGATCGACCGCGAACGTTTCTCGCGCTCGTCGTTTGAATAACCCGGATCGCTCGATCCGCGAGCGGATCCCCGTGCACGAGAGATCCTCGCGCGCTGCGACGCGAATCCGATCAACTCGTTTCTCGATCCATTACTCGCCGCGATTCAAAAATACGAACAAAATTAAATTGTGTCGAGTTTGTTAGTTTCAGCCTGAAGTTTACAACGATTTGAAACAAAATGGCGGGTATTTTTGAGTACTTTCGTGGAGCACCTGATACGTTCCCGCTGTTTTAGTGGCTGTATTTTATTTAGAGGTCGCGATTTTTAGAAGAGAAAATGTTGAAAATTGTTCATTCGTGGATAATTGATTAACTGCGGTGATTAGGGGGCTGAGCTTTAACGAGCTTTCCTCGCGCGTTCAAAGGGGACCGATGCTCGCGACGCTTTGCACTCGGGCTGCGACTCCGAGGCGCCGTTAAAAACTGCTGCGTCGCGTCACAAAGTGATTTTTTATTAATCCAATTTCTTTATATTCGAAGAGCCGTCGAAAGCGTAACCTCGTTCTCCCGCTAATCAATTTATGCTCTTCTTTCCCGCGGACTTCGCGGCCGTCGCGCCGCGCTTTAAACGATACGCTCGCTTCTTCAAGGCCCTCGGTTCGCGCGACAGACATATTCAATCACGCAACAACAACGGCAACAACAACAAGGTTATTTTTGCATCGCAAATCCGGTCGCGAACGCGTCGCTTTCGTCGTCTAAACGCGCGCGATTCGAGGCAACGTTCGCGCAACGCGTGAAACTGACAAATGACAATGACGCAGGAAACGAAATACGGTTTTATGGGAGCAACGTTATGTTATTTAGGATCGCGTAATATTATTTAGAATCGCGTAATGTCATTTAGATCGCACGATGTCATTCAGATCGCGTAACGTCGCCGAACGGCACGTGACGCGACGTTAACGGAACAGAAATCGTCGTTCGGCGGAATGCGGAAAGTAATCGAAGAAAATCGTGTTTCCCAGAAGGAGAGAGAGAGAGAGAGAGATTCAAATCGACCCGGGGACAGATCGACACGGGCGCCGTCGGGTTCGCCGATCCGGCATAGATAATCGAAGATAAGAACGTGGATCGCGCACGTCGCAGCATTTTTCAACGGCTACGTCGAACTTTGATATCGTTCGCGCGGCCACGAATGTCAAGTTCTCCATGAAATTTATCACGTACCGTTTTATCAGCGTGAAAACATTCTCGACGTGTATCGGTCATAATTTGGTCGCGCGATTCGCGGCCGATCCGCGATTCGCCGGGAAACGGGAACGGCGACGGTTACCGGTGAATCGAGACAGCTCGATTATCTGGTCGTGTTCCGCGTAAAAAACGCGCGACGAGCTCTCGTAAAAATTGCGCTTCGAGCGTCGCCGCGGGGACGGGAAATTCGGGGAATTTCTGCGAGGAAACGCGGCGCCGTTTCTCGCCGCGTCGCGGAAAATTCGGTCGCGTTTTCCTCGTCCTCCGTTTTTCCGATCCGAGAACCTTGATAGAACCTTGACAGAACCTTGTTAGAACCTTGATAGAACCTTGACATAGACTTAACAGAATTCGGACTTCCTGAAACGCGTTCGAAATCGAAACGGTTTCGGGACCGGTTCGTGTCCGGATCCCCGATATTCTTCGAGTCCCCCCGCAAAGGGGGTGTTTTAACGTCTTCGGCGTTATCTGCGGAGGTCCCTGAAACGGGCATGAAAAATGCAACTTGCGATACGCGTGACTCCGAAGCGAATTTTCACGGCGAAGCGTATAAACATTTGGTTGCTGAAATGTCGGATTTTTAAGCGAATACATAGAACTGCGTATCTTTCTGCGAAAGCTGTTTATTCGATCGAAATATGCTCCATCTGCTTCGATATACTTTTCTTAACGAGATTTTAACGTTTTCGTACCGTTTAGCCCGTGAGAACTGTTCTAAATGTTTAAAAAGAATGAAAGTCGCTTGGCGAAAGATCCGGCGAACAAGCTGGTCGCTGCAGAATTTCATATTTTAATTTTCATTTCATTTTCATATATTCGTTTTTAAATTATTGTCGCGGAGAAGTATCGGGCCGCGCCGATTAACAAGCGACGGTTGTACAATTTTCAATTTTTCACGCGTTTCATCGATGCACCGGCAGCGCTTTTCGGCTGTAATCGTCTCCGCGGTTCGAAGGAACGAGCAGCGAATTACTCCGGTCGCATTCGTTTCCACCGACGCTTTCGGAGCATCGTTTTTCGCGGACGTTTCGGGCCTTCCACGCGGTTCATTTTCTAGGGAAAAATCAGCGGACCAAAAGTTTTCGAACCGACGCCGCGCTTCTCGATCGTTAACAGTATTCTCTCCGAACGCCTGGTTTGTATCGCGCGCAGCCTTTCGCAGCATTGTTACCGAGTTCATACTCGTCTGAAAAAGTTACACGAATATCGGTGGAATTCGTGTCCTCGCGAAATCCAAGACGAATAACAAAACGGAACACTTTCGAGAAAATCTTCTTCGTTGAAACGCGACTCCGGCGATGGACGGTGCGACTACAGTAATGTCTCCCTAAATGACGCTCGGATTGTCCACAAAAATGGACAATTCGGGAAGAGGAGATACGATTGTTCGAGCCTTGTAGCTCGTTCTTTATAGTTGTTGAGAATCGGTAATTATAAAAAACGAGCTGCAATGCTCGAATAATCGCGTCTCCCCTTCCCAAATTGTCCATTTTCGTGGACAATCCGAGCGTCAGTTAGAGAGACATTACACTGTATAAACGAGGTTACGCCAGAAACAAAAGCACAACGAGAACAGGAAGACGAACGTCCGCGTGCAAAGAAAATCCGACATTTCGTATGCACCGAGCTTAATAGAATTCTTCGACGCGTGGCAAGAGATTTCGTTATCCGAGCGATCGCCGTATCCGCGAACGCGGAGGAACGACGGGGGTCGCCCCCTTGTTGTTACAAGATCGACAACTTTTTTATCCGCGGAACGCAAACACGTCGACGCCGCGGATTATAAAATAATGTCACGTTTCGGCGGAAGTAAATTGCTTCATTATTGTACAATGCCTTGCGTAACCGAGCGCGCGGCGGCCCGACTTCATTGCATATACGAAACGACTGCAAAACGTACGGGCGCCGCGACATCTGTATGCACGTATGTATGCACGCATGTATGTATGTATGTGCACGCGACTTCCTCATACTTCGAGGCCCAGGGGTACGTAATGTTTATCGCCGCGGCACACATCGTCGTCGTCGTCGTCGTCGCGCACGAAAATATTTCAGGAACGGCGAAACACCAGATTTTGTTCTTTTTGCGGGGCCTCGTTCCGAGAACGTTCAAGCCCGAGTTTCTTTTCGACTTGACGAGGAAAGTGCGAGACTTTTTAATTTTACACGGTCTAGTTGTCCCGATATCGTTGCGTCAGCCGCTCTGTGCCAGGGGTGGCCAAACTTTTCATCGTTGCGGGGCGAACTGCATATCTTTTTTTAAATTGTAGGCGGTGTGGGAGTCGTAAATGATCATAAAAAAAATAGTAATTTAAGGGCAAAAGTAAGCTTCAATTTGAAATAATAATAATAACGGTAATAATGCTGATAATGATAATAATAATAATAGTAATAGTAATAATGCTGATAATAATAATAATAATAGCAATAAAGCTGATAATGGTGGTAATAATAATAATAATAATAATAGCAATAATATGCTGATAATGCTAACGATAGTAATAATAATAATAGCAATAATGCTGATAATGATAATAATAATAATAGCAATAATGCTGATAATGATAATAATAATAATTATAATAATAGTAATAG